ATTGGTTCAATTAGCCAATGAGTGTGTTGATGTTATCAGAGAGGGAGGCCTACTGAATGGAAAATCTTTGGAGTTATTGCCCATCATTCTTACTGAAGAAGATGGAGCCCTTAGGAGACATAAGATAGAGAGACCCAACAATGTTTGGTCAAAAGACCAAACAAACAAACAAAAAAAGATCTCTTACTTAGTTATTTTGGGCATGTAATGGGATGTATATAATTATCCATCTATTCATTTGTTTTTAGTTTATTCAGTAGAATAGACTTTACATTTTTTATTTAACGTATTTGTTCACCTCAGCATATACAATTTCACATCATTCTAGTGACTCTATAGTATTTATTATTATTATTTAGCTAATCTCCAGTTGTTGGATTATTTCTAATTTTTTGCTCTTACAAAAAGTATTACAAAAGCCGGGTGTGGTGGCGCACGCCTGTAATCCCAGCACTCGGGAGGCTGAGGCAGGAGGATCGTTACAAGCTCGAGACCATCCTGGGCTAGAAAGTGAGCTCAAGGCCAGCCTGAACTGCATAGGGAGACCCTGTCTCAAAAAAAAAAAAATTTAGATGACCTTTTAGAATTCCTTTGTAGGTTGTATTTGAAATAGTAAATTGGATGGGTCTGTGGTTAAAGTTGCTAGGTACGTATGTATGTGAAAGTGTGTGTTTTCCCTAATCTCATCAACATTGGGTATAATCATACTTTTTGTTTAGGTATTTGTTACTAGGGATTTAGTTTCCTTGAACTTTTTGTTTTGCTAGTCAGATATGTTAGAGACTGATATTTTATTCTTTTAAATGGTATCTTAAAAATCTTCTTTATCACTATTACAAATGAAACTGGAAATGGTGCTTTTCCTCTTAACTAGTTTTACAAAGTTATATGTAAATAAGTTAAAATGAAATAAACTCATATTCTTCCTCATTTTCTTTAGATGGGATCAACAATATGTAGTCCAACTCACCTCCATGTTCAAGTAAGCATCCTTAATCCCTTTCCCTTTATATCCTGCTTTGTGAACTTGCCTGATAGACATTGAAACAGCAAGCTTAGCTGCCGCTCTCTCTGAGTAACAGCATTGGTACCTCTGTTTTCTGTTAGGGAATTCCCTCCCGTCTCCCTTTGGTTTTATTTCATGTGTAACTGTGATTTTTTTTCCAAGAGGACTTTGCTTTCCTAAGTTTATAAATCCCTCTAAAAGATTCTTCATGAGGGAAAATCAGAGGGAGCAGTTGTGGTATTTTAATATTTACTTTATTTGCTGCTTTCAAATTTTATTTCTAAAGAGATGTTTAATGAAACTTAAAACATTGTAAAGCCCAGAAGTAAATTTGTAAAAACAAGGTAAGTAGGTTGTGGCAGCCTTGTGAATCTCTGATCCACAGGGATGTCCCTCTGACTGCAGAAGAGGTAGAGTGTGTGGTGGAAAAAGTGTTGAAGATGTTCTCAAAATTGAATCTTCAGGAAATACCACCTTTGGTCCATCAGCTTCTAATTCTCTCTGCAAAGGTATAGATAAAAAAATTACTGCTCCTTAATTCTTGTGGTAGGACTGTGGTAGTTATATATGGCAACTCTGCTTTTTTGGTGCGGTTTGTTTACATAGTAGAACACAGATGATTTCATTTCACATGTGGTGATTTGAGCTAGTAAGATCATGCCCCTCAGCCAAGGGAAGGAAACGTGTCATATCTCTTCTACCATAGTTCCATTTTTGTAATACTAAAGGAAATACAGTTTCAGAAAAAGTGGACTGTAGGCTCTTTAAATCTCATATTAGTGGGCGTTTAATGAGCATTTTAAACTCTCTTCCTTTTTTTTTTTTTTTTTTTTTTGTGGTGCTGGGGATTGAACCCAGGGCCTCTGCATGTAAGGCAAGAGCTCTGCCTCTGAGCTGTATCCCCAGTCTATCAAACCCTGTTTCAACTTGAAAGTATCCTATATGTTCCTACTGGATTTTAGGTAGTAGCTTGTTTATTTAAAGTCACACTATAATCCATTAAATTAAAAAGTATTTGATTATCTTTCCTTTTAACTGGGCGAACTTACCTATTTTCCATGTTCCAGGGAAGCAGAAAGAGTGCTCTAAGTGGAGTCATTGCCTTCTTCAGTGAGCTAGACAAGCAGCACCGTGAAGAACTAAGTGGTGATGAGTGAGTAATATAATTTTTTATTTTGTTTGGTTTTGGGTTTTTTCCGGTACCAGGAATTGAACTCATGACCTCACACTTGCCAGGCAGGCGCTGTGCCGCTGAGCTAAATCCCCAGCCCCAAGTGAGTAATATAATTTAGAAACAGCATTTTTACAAATTCATCTTCTCATTTTGTCCCTGAGTAGCTTCATTGCTGTCTTCTCTTTCACCCCTGCCTTCCCTCAGCACAGGACATCTGTGATCCCCTCCCAGCTGCTTAGTTGTAAAGTGATGAGAATTATGCAGCCTCTTGAGCGCTTTTGTTTGCACCTTTCCAGAAAAATAGCAGTAATTGTCCTGTAATATTTGGATTTAAAACTTTTACGTGGCCTACTCTGTGCCAATAAGACTTTGGCCTTGGGGCCTCAGGGATGAACAAGTCAAGGAAGTCCCTGTCCTGTGAGGGGAGTATTAGATTTCACAGAGAAGAGAATATTAGGAAAGTGCCGTGAAGGTAATTAAAAGGGATGGTGCATCCACTGCTTTCAACTGGGTCAAGGAAGGTCTCGGTGAGGAGGTGCTGTTTTAACTCAAGCCTGATCGAAGAGAACCATAATATTTAAATAAAAGGGAACATTTTCAGGTGGAGGAACAGTACAGAGACAGTGGGGCATACCGAGAAAGAGGGTTTTTTTTCAAAGGAAAAATTTGTAGAGTGTTTATTCTCTGCTAGGTACTATTCTTAAGCACTGTAAACCACCTAGCCCTGTTTTATCTCTGTTTTATGTGTGTAGAAACCAAGAAACAGAGGAATTGAGGAATTTCCCAAGATTTCCCAGGAAATGGTGAAGTTGTGATTTAGAACTAGGCAGTTTGGCTAGAAAATTTATGCTGTTAACTCTGGTACATTCCAGCACTTTTACTTTTTTCTTTTTTTTTCTTTTTCTTTTTTTGAGACAGGTATCGCTATGCAGTTCAGTCTGGTCTTGAACTCACCCTGCATCCCAGGCTGGCCTTGGACTCCAGGCAATCCTTGTGCCTCAGCCTCCCAAGTGCTGGGCTCATAGGGCATGGCCCACCACACCTGGCCAATTCTAGTACTTCTGATGTATAATAACTTCTAGTTATTTGGCTTAAAAAAATAGTGTAAAGATGATCTCATATATTAGGAAAAGGTGATAAAACCAGGTTTTGGAAAAAATGCGTTTAGTTTTGACCACATTAGTTATAATGGATTTTAGCATCTTAAATGGAGGTACTGAGCTGGTAATCATGATTTGTAGGCAGAAGTCTGATCTGGAAATAGAGAATGAAAGGGCCTAAAGCTATAGGACCATATAGAATTGTGTAGGGAGAGCATGATGAGAAGAAAACCCAAGACTGAGCTCCATGGGAAAGGATAAGGTGTAGCTATTGAGTGCCCGGGATGGTGCCCTGGAAGATAAGAGAAGACAGCTTTTAGGGAGGAAGTGATTAACTATAAATCTGCTGAATGTTAATTAAGGTAGACCTTTATTGGTTTTGACAATGTAGAGATTATTTATGTATAACTCTTGTAAGAACAGTGAGGTTAGAAGGAAGAAAATGGAAACAAAGCTTTTGTCAATAAGGGGAAGGAGGGTTGTAGGGAGGGGGAGGGGAATGGAAAAAAGAAACAAAATATATCATGTACAGCTACAAATTCCCTATGGTGAATTGGATCACTATGTATATCTAAAATATACCAATAAAAGTAATTTTTTTTTAAAAGGAATTGTCAGATGGCCTTAGATGCAAAGATAGGGAGAGGACAGGATCTGATTGAACTGGGTTGGACTGGGAAGACAGTATTTGATAAGGTGGCAGCAATAATTATAGATAGTGCCTTCTGAAAGTTTTATTGTAAAAGGAAGGGAGAACGGAGCGGTAGAAGTGTACTAACCTTTTGCTCCTAGTGATTACATGAGCTCAGCTTGAGTTGGTCTACTTGTTGATCGAAGCACCTGCACTTGGCTCACTAAATCATAGCTCTTATTTTTCTTATTTTTCTGGCATCTTTTAGGCTGTTGGATCTTGTTACTGTGCCATCAGGTGAACTGCGCCACGTGGAAGGCACCGTGATTCTGCATATTGTGTTTGCCATCAAGCTGGACTGTGAACTAGGCAGAGAACTTCTAAAACTCTTCAAGGTAGCACCGACATGACCTTGAACTCACCATGTAGCCCAAGCTCACCTTGAATTTGAAGCGATTCTTCTGCCTCATCCTCCTGAATGCTGGGATTACAGGAGTGTGCTGTCACACCTGGCATTAAGCCTTTTTTTAATAAATGTTATAGAATGACTTGGATCTAGAAGATCTCTGTCTTTTTTTTTTAATTTGAAAGTAGGAAATATATGATGTCACTGTACCCTTAAGCAAGCCAAAAAGTCCATTTAATAAATCTTTCTTTAAGCATCCTAGTACAAATACATACAAATATATTTGTCCTAGGCCAAAAACATAAAAACTGAAGGCCATTCAGCAGAAATCTAAAAATCTAATTTTAACTGTGTCTTATGTGACCTTCAACCTTGGCTTCTTTTGTTTCATTTCCTTTTTTCTCTTTTCTGAAATAACATCTTGATGTGTAATTTAGTCCTTAAACTCACTGTGTATCTCAGGCTGGCATGGAGCTTGCAGCAGTCCTCCTGCCTCATCCTCCCAAGTGCTGGGATGAAAGGTGGTACACACCTGGCTCAATCTTGGCTTGTGCTTCTCCATTTATGAATTAGGATCTTGCTTATTTTTAGTAGTATATCATGGATTTTTGTGGTGCTAAGCCATTAATCACTAAGTATGATACGTAAAAATAAAAAAATGCTTTGAAAATAGTATACAGATATATGTTTTTATTTTCACCTCATATTTTGAGACAGGGTCTTGCTAAGTTGTCCAAATTGGGCTCAAACCTGCATTAGCCTCTCAGAGTGCTGGGATTACGGGCATAAGCCACCATGCCTGGCTCCAAAATGTTTATGGCTGGTTTTTCTCCTGCAGGATCCAATCAGGCTTCATCCATTGCTTTTATGTCTAGCTAGTCATCTTTTGATTGGTTGCTTTGAAGGTCCTGCCCAGTTGTCTTGTATAATGTTCCACATGGTTTTTTGTTATTGTTGTTTTGTTTTAATTTTGTTCCACATTGTTGGATTTATCTCATTTTTTTCCTCAGGATTAGGTTAAAGTTTTAAGTAAGGAAAAAAAAAAGTTTTTAGTAAGGTCAAGAAATTCTCTGTAAAGGGCCAGCTATGAAATAATTTAGGCCTTGCAGGCCAAGTAATCTCTGTCACAACCACTCAGCTTTACCACGGTAACAAGAGCACAGCCGTGGGCACTGCACTCACAAGTGAGTGTCTCAGTAAAACTATAAACATTTTTTTTGGGTTTTTGAGACAGGCTCTTGCAATGTAGTTCAGGCTGTCCTTGAACTTACTGTGTAGTCCAGGATGCCTCAAACTTGCAGCCTTCTGAGTACTAGGATTATAGGCATGCGCCACCATGCCTGGCTAATAAAACTATATTTATGGACATTGAAATTTGAATTTTATGTAATTTTCATGTTATGAAATACTCTTCCTTTGATTTTCCCCACCCCCCAGTCATTTAAAAACGTAGAAACTGTTCTGTTTACTGGCTATACAGGTTGTTGGGCTTCATTTGGCCAGTGGGCTATAGTTTATGAATTGTTGTTGTATGCATTCTTTCAAGGGACACATAGTATTAAGGTCATCTTCCTGACTCAGTCTCATGGAGTGCTGGCATTGCGCATGTGCACCATCACTCCTGACTCTTGAACCACAAATATTTTGCATTTTGATGAGATTTAGTTTATTAATGCTCTTATGTAACTTATGCTTGGTATTATACTTATGAAATCCTTGCCTAGCCTTAAAGATTTTCTGTGTATTTTCTTCTACAAGTTTCATGGTTTTAACGCTTACACAGTATTTAAGTTTATGATCCATTCAAGGATCTAGTTTTATATAGCTCTGTTATGCTTTTAAAATATAAATAATGATTGTTTTTGGTTTATCTTAGGCAGGACAACAAGGAGATTCCAGTAGCAACTTATGTCCCTTCAGTATTGCTCTCCTTCTCTCTGTAACAAGAATACAAAGATTTGAGGAACAGGTATCGTTAAATGGCACTTTGGTTCCTTCTGTAGTTGGTAAGAAAGAGTAGAGAATCTGTTTGTGTGTTTTTGGTTTTTTTTTTTGGCTTTGGCTTTGGCTTTGGCTTTGGCTTTGGCTTTGGCTTTGGCTTTGGCTTTGGCTTTGGCTTTGGCTTTGGCTTTTTTCCGGTACCGGGAATCAAACTCACGACCTTGCGCTTGCCTGGCAGGCTCTGTGCCACTGAGCTAAATCCCCAGCCCCTATTTTTCTTTCCTAAACAGTTCCACCCCCATCATGTCAGCAGCAAAGCTGCTCTAAGACATGCAGCAGCTTTTGATTTTTCATGGTTTTGGAGCTGCTAGAAGACAACTGAGATTCTTCGTTTATACCTCCACTGTCTGTTGTGCAGTAAGAGGTGGTGAGGTGGGAATAAGGGTGGAGCCCTGTCACACAGCCCAGGTAGCAGGGTGGGAACAGAACTGGGTATCCATCAGCAGTTTTAGTGTGATGAGGTTTTCCAAGAAATTGTCCCTGATTGCCTTAAAATTACAGCGAATAGGTTCATTGCAAGGACAAATATATAAAGTCCTTTACCCATTTTTCTCTCATATTTGTTCTCAGATTTGGGATAATATTTATATTGATTTTTAGCCCTTTTTTGTGTTAAGGAAAGCTTGTTTTGTTTTTGTTTTTACGATACTAAACAGAATGCAGGACCTTAGCCAGGCATGGTGGCGCATGCCTGTAATCCCAGCACTTGGGAGGCTGAGGCAGGAGGATCGTTGCGAGTTCAAGACCAGCCTGGGCTACAAAGTGAGCTCAAGGCCAGTCTGAACTGCAGAGCGAGACCCTGTCTCAAAAAAAGTCCAAAGAAAAAGAATGCAGGGCCTTGTACATACTAGGCAAGTACTGTATCACTGAGCCACATCCCTTGAGCTGTTTTAAAATTTTTTATTTTATTTTATTTTTGGGGGTGTTATGAGGAGTCGAACTCAGGACCTCACACTTACCAAGTAGGTAGTGCACTGCTGAGCTATGTCCCTCACCCCTAAAATTTAATTTAGGAACAGAGTCTTGCCAAGTTGTTCAGGCTGGTCTTGAATTTGGAATCCTCCTGCCCCTATTCTGAATAGTTGGGATTACAAACACATGCGATCACTCCTCACTCAACTCTTTTAAAATCCCACTGAAAGTCATAATTTTTATATCATTTGCATCAATAAATAGTTATCATAGAGATACATATTAGTGACAGATTGTAGGAACAGTTACAAGGTTAAGATTCATAGCATAAGCCATAACTTTTGCTTTATTTCCTATAACTTTTCTTTGATTTTCCTGTTTATTTTATTATATTAGGTGTTTGACCTTTTAAAGACTTCGATTGTGAAAAGCTTTAAAGATCTTCAGCTCCTCCAAGGCTCAAAATTTCTTCAGAATCTAGTCCCTCACAGAACTTGTATTGCAGCCATGATCCTGGAAGTGGTGAAGAGTAGGTGAGTTAGCGGAGCATACTCTAAAAGTAAATGAAGGGCTGGGCGTGGTGGCGCATGCCTGTAATCCCAGCACTTGGGAGGCTGAGGCAGCAGAATCGCTGGGGGTTCGAGACCAGCCTGGGCTACAAAGTGAGCTCAAGGCCAGCCTGAACTGCACAGCGAGACCCTGTCTCAAAAAGACAAAAAAAAAAATAATAATAATAATACGCTAAAAGTAAATGAAGGATTTAGTGTTGGAAAATGCAGTGTGGTACCATGCTTGTGGCCCATCAGAGAAAGCCGATGACTGCACCCATTGGCTTCGTAGATCAAGGATTAATCTTTTAAGATGAGATGAGCAAACTTTCTCCTACGGAAAGATCATTCAGCCTCAGGGCCTGATTGCTTAGCCACCTTGAGAGCAAAAGTATGAAAGTGAAGGAGGTACCTTTGTTCCTTCTGTGATATTGCAACTCTTCACTGGCCTGAGTCTTTACTGACTGCTTTACAAGTGAGTAAAACGTACTAAATTTGAAGTTGACACTTACATGTGTGCTGTACCATTTATACCATATCTATACGTACACAAGTACACATTACATACATATGTATATTTTTTCTGTCACTTGTAGGTGCTGAGATGGGGAGAATTGGGCATGTACTTGGTTTATCTTGATTCCCAGCTCTCCAGGGTTTAAATATTGTTAAATCTGTTGAAATATTACGAGAATTTACTCACGACTATTTCCTTTATTCCGTAGTGCTGCATTATGTGTTGCTGTTTAATAGGTAGAAACAGTTGCATAAAGGTTATGTCACTTCCTGCCATTGTAGGGAATAATATTAAGTGGTACAGTCACTGAGGAGTCTACTGCTTTCCAAGGCTACTGGTAGTTTTAGCTCATGCTGTTGAAATAAGATTATTCATGCTATGTATTGTTTTCTTTGCTAGGCTTTGTGGGTAGAAACTATGGCTATACTTGACCTTGACCCTAGAGGGTATCTGTGGGGAGGGATACAGATTTGTAAGCTTATTTGTAAGTGTTACAGGGAGTAAAAGAAACAGCTTCTGCTCATAAAATCTTAATGGTTATTGCATTAAAATACTCTATATAATCTGTATACTGTATTTTTTTAGTTATTCTGTGTATTTTATTCTATAATGCTCTGTCTGTTCTTGGAAGCACCTTGCCTACCATTCCTCCTACTGTATACCCAGGAATTCCATATTCCCCCGATAAGGTTCATATGTGAAGTGTGTTTGTTTCCCAGGCTAGGGAATGTGTAATGTGGCAGTGAGTGTAAAGGCAGGTGTCGTACTAAGTTTTTCCTTTTAACTAAGATTGGTTTTCTTGTAGTGTTCATAGTTGGGATCACGTAACTCAGGGCCTGGTAGAATTTGGTTTCCTTTTAATGGATTCATATGGGCCAAAGAAGATTCTTGATGGAAAAAGTTTTGAAACCAACTCTGGTCTTTCTAAAATGCCAAGCCAGCATGCGTGTAAGCTGGGAGCCGATATCCTGCTGGAAACTTTCAAGGTGAGACTGTAATTTGGCAGCCATTGCTTTGTTGTTGTTGTTTGTTTATTTTTTGTTTTATGAGGCAGGGTCTTGCTAGGCAGCTCAGGCTGTCCTTGAACTCCCTATGTAGTCCAGGCTGACCTGGAACTCAAGGTGATTCCCCTGCCTTGGCCTCCCAGCGGCTGAGATTACAAGTGTGTCCCACCATGCCCAGCCCCATTCGCTGTTTTTGTTGAAAAATAGAAGACATTTGCCTGGGGCTTTGGTGGAAAGGAAATTTGAGTCTGCAGTAGGTTGACATATATGACAGAGCTTGGGATGGTATTGGAGCATTACAGGTCCAATCTGATGGAATACTTCTAGGGGGTCGATCTGGGTGTCAAATCCAGGGTCTTGTGCTTACTGAGGAAGCACTGGCCCACCGAGCACATCCCCAACCCACTGCTCTTTTCTGTAGAGTTTCCATTCATTGTATTTCATTTATTTCTGACTGTCCTTAAAAGTTTAAATGCAACATAGGTTTTGCATGGTTTTTTCTTTCCTCCAGCAGAAAATTACTTCTGTTTTATTTTGTTTCAGTGCTCTTTGCTTATACAAAAAATAATTTTTAAGTCAATATAAAACATCAAACTTGAATTAAGTTTATTGGTTCGTTGTTTTTAAAGGAATTTACATTTTTTATATTCTCAAATTACATTGTCATCTCAATATTCTCAGTTTTCAAAATTTGTTGCCTTTTAAATAAAAAAAAGCAAAGTCATATCTGGTGCTAAGCATCTATGTTAGTGATTCCTCCAAGATATCTTTTGGACATTCAGTAGTTTAGTGTAACCATAAACAAGAATGTTAACCTACCAAGAATGTGAGGAGGCTAGTATAAATATAAATTTAATGTTTTATCCATAACAGCATAAAATAGTCCTTGAGTTAAAAGTGGATTTGATGATATAAATGACCCTTTTTAACCGTAGCATAACTAAATGTTTCTTCAAATATGCTTTTGTTTTAAATTCATATTTGTCAAAACTAGAGGTTCTGATTTCATGGGTGTTGGCTTTATCAAAACATCTGTAGAGCATATAATTGCAGACGGAATCAGTAACAATCTGAAATCTGAATGAAATGAATCTGTTAATCTCAAAGTAACCAAGTTAAGAATTTGAACTAAAATTCAAATGAAAATTCAGAATTTTTTGCGGTTGTACTGGGAATTGAACTCAGGACCTTGTGCTTGCCAGCCCAGCATTATGCCACTGAGCTGTATCCCCAGCCCTGAAAATTCACAATGGGTCATTTTCTTTCACTCTTTTTTTTCCTTTTTGTAACTGGGGATTTGAAGCCAGGACCTTATACCTAGAGCAAGAATTCTACTACTGAACTCCATCTGCAGCCCTTTTTTTGTTTGAGACAAACAATAAGTTGGCCGGGCTGGCCTCGATTTTTTTTGTGTGGGTGGGGGGTGTTTCTTTTTGAGACAGGGTCTCGCTATGCAGTTCAGGCTGGTCTCAAAGTCCAAACGATCCTCCTGCCTCAGCCTCCCAAGTGCTGGGATTACAGGGATGCACCACCACACCCGGCCTTTTGGCTTCAAATTTTGGATTCTTCTGCCTCAGCCTCCTGAGTAGATGAGATTATACGTAGTGTGCCACATGCCCAGCTCAGAATGGGTCTTTTATAGCCAAGTGCTTTGTTCCTTCAAACTGAGAAGCAATGAGTGAAATTTTTTTCTTATTCTGTGCTCCCTCTCTCCCTTTCTTCTTTCATGCTGAGAATTGACCTCAGGACCTTTGACCAACTATATCTCCAAGCTTTTTTTTTTTTTTTTAAGATAGGATATTGGCAATTTGTCCAGCCTGGACTCGAACTTGGAATCCTCCCATCTCAGCCTTCCACAGTGCTACAATTACAGGCATGTACCACTATGCCTGGCTTGATTTTTTTTTTTTTTTTTCTAAAGATTTTCACAGGTCTTGAATTTTAATTTTCAGAATAAAAGTTATGAGTGCTGTCAGAAATAAGGATGTTGGCCTATATTGGATACTAAAGTAGAATTACTTCTCTTTGATAGCTGACCTTAGATGTCATATTTGTATCATGTGATCTGTACTTTTAGGCTGATAAACATGATATTTACCTTGTTAATGAATCATACAAACACAGAATGAGGGCGGAGTTGTGTTTCTGTTTTTCCAGATGATTCACATTAATGTTCTGATATGTCTGAAATGAACAGTTGAGTTTTACCGTATCTGAAGTATTCTTACCCTGCCTAATATACATGATGCACTTACTATGCTGAAGGTCACCAAGGAATATTTTATTGGTTGTGTTTTTTTTTTCAGATCCATGAGATGATCCGACAAGAAATTCTGGAGCAAATCCTCAACCGGGTTGTTACCAGAGCTTCCACTCCCATCAATCATTTCTTAGGTACTGAGCTTTTAAAGGCTGAATACTGTTCTTAGGGATATTATCATTTAAATATCATACAGATTTGGTCCTAGAAAAGTGTTGAGTGATGCAGTGCCTTGTGATGCAGTGTCTTTGGTTATGGTGACAGTGAGGTGTCAGTCCCCGTACATTGTCTTTAGTGGTCAGCAGGGAAGGGAGCATTTAACTGCGTGAACCTCCAGTTTGCACCAGCATTCTCTCATCTCTCAGCACTTCCCAGGTGAGTGCTGTCCTTCTGACGCTGTAACTTAGACATCTGGAAGCCAGTACTTCGCTTCCTGGTAACTTCTGAAAGTGTTACTTATAGCACATACCCCCTCATGTCTAGGTCCACTGCCTTTTTCTTAGTCACCGATTTTTGTTTTTCTGTATCATTCAACACTGTGCACAACTTCCCTAAGACTTTTCTGTTAGATTCTCTTGTAATTATAATAGCTTCTTGTCCTGCCTGTGACCTTTTTTCTCCTTTAGTGGTAACTTTTATGTCTTGTGCCCTTCAGTGTCAGGATTTGGAAAAGCTCAGCACTTAAAGTAGCGTCTTATTCCACTCTCCCCACTCTTTACAGCTTTACTAAGTTATAATTGAAATATAACCTTCGTATTTAAAGTATAACGGTACAATTTCTTTTGACGTGGGTATACACCTGTGAAGCCATTGCCACAGTCAAGATGAATATACGTGTCACACACAGTTGCCTCCTAGAGTCTTGATATTCTGTTCTTATCCCGTGCTTCATCCCCTTTGCCATCTCATTTGATCTGCTTTCTGTCATAATAAATTCATACGTGGAGGGGTGCTGGGGATTGAATCTAGGACTTTGTGCGTGCTAAGCACACACTCTTCCATGGAGCTACACCTCCAGCCCTTAAATGTCATTTAAAACATTTTATGTAGATGGAATAATACAGTATACACTTTTTATATCTGGCTTCTTTCACACAGCATCGTTCTTTTGAGATTTATCTGTGATTGTTATGTATATTAATATAGTAGTTGATTCCTTTTTATTATACTATTCTAATACATAGCTACAGTTTGTTTATCCATTCACCTGAGGATAGTTATTTCTAACTTGGTTATCATGAATAAAGGTGTTGTGCTGGGCGTGGTGCGTACACCTGTAATTGCAGCATGTGGGAGGCTGAGGCAATAGGGTTGCTGTGAGTTCAAGGCCAGCCTGGACTGCATAGTAAGACACTGTCTCTAAACAACAACAAAAAACTGAGCATTCATGTATGTCTTCTTCTTTCTCCTGGAAAAATGCCTAGTAGTAGATTGTGTACATCATGTAGTAGATACATGGTCTGTAGTTTAAGAAACTGCTAGACTCTCCCAAAGTGATGGTACCATTTTGCATTCTTCCAGCAGTGTTTCTAGTTGCTCTGTATTGTCACCAGTACTTGGTATGATTGTTCTTTCTATTTTTATTTTTTGGCTTTTTTGAGACAGGCGCTCACTATGTAGTTCAGACTAGCCTCGAATTCACAGTGATCCTCCTGCCTCAGCCTCCTGAGTGCTGAGATTACAGGCCTGCACCAGGCCCTAATTGTTCTTTTTAATACTAGGCATTCTGACCAAACAGCTTGAGTTTTGATTGATACTAACTTGAATCTGTAAATCAGTTTGGGATCTTAACAATAGTGAATCTTCTTACTCATAGGCACAGGGTAGCTTTCCATTGAGTTAGCCCTGTAAATTTTATCAACGTGGTTTTGCAGTTTTCATTGTGTGAGTCTTATATAAATGTTGTCAGATTTAGCTCTAAATATTTTCTAATTTTTTGAGGCTGATGTGAGTGATACACTATTTTTGTATTTTAATTTTTGATTAAGTATGCAAGAAGAAAAAATAAAACAAAAAAATTGTGCAAGAAGATGTCCAGTTGCTTTTTTATGTTGACCTAGTATCATGTAGCCTGCTTAATCTACTTGTTCTAATAGCTTTCTTGTGATTTTTTTAAAAAACTGTATAATGTTCCACATGGAAGTTACACTATTTATGAATCAAGACATTCCTGGTACCGGTAATTGTATCTTTTCGTTTTGTTTTGTTTTTTGTCAGCCTGGCTACAGGCTGTAAGTTTTAAAATAACCTGTCAGAGAATGCGCTTTGGTTTAAATTTTCTGTTTTTTTTTTTTAATGTTCATTTTCAGTGATTTTTGCTCTTTATTACTTTTTCCTTTTGCTTTTTTTGGTGTTTGTTGTGCTATTTTTAGTGAGTGAAAAAAAAAAATAGAAGAATAGCATTTCATGACCTGCAAAATTTAGATTTCCAAGGCCATATATATAATATTGGAACTTGGCCTTTGGTGCCCCTTCATTTGTATAAACTCTTGCTTCCTGTTGTCCCAGCAGAGGTGAGTAGTTAGGACATACATCAGTATGGCCTGTAAAGCCTCAAGTATTTACCTTCTGGCCCTTTATAGATAAGTTTTCTGACTCTGCTTTGTTATGTTTACCTGGATATTTATGCTTTGTTTCTTCTTTCTTCTTAATGTTCCAAATCTCCTCTTGTGGGAAGGATTTTTAATTACAAATTCTGTTTCTTTAATAGAAATAGTACTATTCAGATTATCTGTATCTTTTGAGTAAACTTTGGCAGTTTCTGTCTGTGAATGAATTTGACCATTTCATCTAAGTTATTAACTCTGTTGCTATAAAGTTTTTCAAAATGAGAGCCAGGCGTGGTAGTACATGCCTGTAATCCCAGTACTCAGGAGGCTGAGCCAGGAGCATCCTTGTAAGTTCAAGGGCAGCCTGCATAGTGAGACCCTGTCTCAAAAAGACCAAAAAACAAACAAAAAAAAATTGTTCTAGGTGTTCCTTTTAATGTGTCTAGAATCTGTGTTACTTTCCTGATTTGTCTGGCAAATTGATTGACTTTATTGAAATTCACAACCCTCCTTTGGCCCTGTTGAATTTTTCTGTTGATACCTGCTTTACTTGTTTGCTTCCTTTCTTCTACTTTGAGTTTAGTGTGTTCTTCCTTTGATTGGAAACTTAGGTCATTAATTTGAGACCTTTCTCTTTTTGCGGGGAGGGGTACCGGGAATCAAACTCAGGACCTTACGCAGGCAGGCACTGTACCACTAAACTAAATCCCTGGCACCCCCCCCCTTTTTTTTTCTTTTTTTTTTTTTTGAGACAGGGTTTCCCTATGAAGTTTAGACTGACCTTGAACTTACTATGTAGCCCAGCCTGGCCTCAAACTCATAGTGATCCTCCTGCCTCAGCTTCCCAAGTGCCTGTGCATGTGCGACTGTGCCCAGCTCTTTCTCTTTTTTTAACACAAGCATTAAACTATAATTTTTCCACTAAATATTGCTTTAGCTTCACCTCATAAATTTTATTTTCATTTAGTTTCAAATTCTTCTAAATTTCTGTTACTTGTTCTTTAACCCAGAAATGTGTTGTTTAGTGTCCAAATATTTGTTTGTTTTTTTTTAAGATATGTGTTACTGATTTCTAATTTGTAGTCAGAGAACTTACTTTATGTCATTGATTCTCTTAAATTTATTGAGCTACAGCTTTCTAACTAGTTTCTGCCTATAGCAGTTCAACCTGCATATTGGCACCAGACGATTTAGTACTCCTGAAATACTATTATGTGACTCTGTATTCATCAGTATTTTCATTTATAAACTATTCATTTATAAACTTTTTATCCTAGAACTTCAAGTCTGTGACAGTTTTCCAGTGTACTTATCCTATTTATCCTCAGATATGTACTTTGCTGAATCCTTCACCCCAATTCCACTTATCCTCCCCATCATCCTCTGAATGCCATTCTTATTCTTACCTTTCTTATATTTTTATATAAAGCATATTTTTCCAGTTCTTTGTGCATTTAAATGGTACTCATCTTTCAGAAGTTAGTTTAAATTCCTCCTCATTGCTTTCCTAAAATACACCACTTCATCATGATTTCATTTGCTTTGTTTTGTTTGAGTCAGGGTCTCAGTATGTAATTCTGGCTGGCCTTGAACTCACTGTGTAGCCCAGTTTGGCCTCCAGTTTATGGTGATCCTCCTGCCTCAGCCTCCTAAGTGCTGGGATTATACCAGCACCAGTATGCACCATCACACCCAGTGATCTCTCTTTTTGAGACCCTGTTTAAACTCTGTTTAGCTGGATGTGGTAGTACATACCTGTAATCCCAGCACTCAGGAGGCTGAGGCAGGAGTATCACTTCAAGTTCAAAGCCAGTCTGGGCTACATAGTAAGTTCAGGGACAGCCTAGGTTACACACAAACAAACAAAAAAATAAAAACAAAACTCTCTTCACCATTTGGTAAGCAATAAATGTTTGAAATTACTAGATATTGATGTCATTCTGTAACTCTTAATTTTCTTTTTGCTTTTAACTAAACTATTAGAATTCTTAAAAGAAGAGACCCATGTGTTATGCTTTATATATTTCTAATAGGATCAGATTATGTTTATGCATAATAAAAATTTTCAAATATTGCTTAATTTTTAGTTTGGAAATGGGAACATATGTGTTGTTTTGGCCATGTAATAGGGTTCTTCCTTTCTTTAGACAGGTTTTTTTTTTGTTGTTTAGGTTTTTGTTTGCTTTGTTTTGTTGTTTCCTGTCCTTTTTAATATTTTTATTTTGAGACAGCATCTCGCTAAATGGCCCAGACTGGGCTTGAACTTGCAGTCTTTGTGCCTTAGCCTCCTGAGTAACTGAGATTATAGGCCACTGTGCCTGGCTCCTCTAGACAGTTTAGTTGTTGAAGTCTTGTGCTATCACAAAAAGGGCTAAAAGTATCCTGGTTATACTGACTGAAGAGAATGTAGGTATAATTAGAAATTTTTATTACATTGTATTTGGCTTAAGGAAACAAAACTTTTTTAGCCACTCATGCCTGTAGTCCCAGCACTCAGGAGGCTGATCCAGGAGCATCGTTGCAAGTTCGAGAGCAGCCTGGGCTACAAAGTGAGCTCAAGGCCAGCCTGAACTGCTTAGCAAGATCCTGTCTCAAAAAGACCAAAAAAGGGCTGAGAATATAGCTCAGTGGCATAAGCGCTTGCCTGGCAAGCACAGGACCTGAGTTCGATTCCTAATACCAAAAAAAAGAAAAAGACCAAAAAAAACCCCAATAAAATGTTTTGCAATTTGTCTCCCCATATTTATTTTAAATATCTTTAGTTACTTGAGGCATTTGAGTATATATTCTGTCTTACAGACTTGCTTTCAAGTGTCATCCTCCATGCACCCTTAGTTCTTCAGGGTTGTTCTTCTAAAGTCACAGAAGCTTTTGAATATTTGTCCCTCCTGCCCCTTCAGACTGTATATGGGCTGCTTAAAGCAGTGCAGGTAAGTCTCCTGACATCTGAGGCAACTTACCAAAACTGGTTTAATTGTCTATTGGAAAACTGCTATATTTCTTTTTTTTATTAGATACATTTCTTTATAGATACATATATCCAAGAAATGCTTTTGAGTTTGAAATGTAAAACCTTATGTTAAAGGGAAAGAGCAGTAGTGACCCCTCTTCATAGCACATTTCTCTCCTCTAGCTCATTTCATGTTAGTGAAGTAACTGACAGTCCCTAGAAAACTGTTGAATACAGTGGGCTTATAAGATGTTTGTAGCAGTTTCAATTTGTTAAGTGTAATCAACATTCAAACATGTCTGTAAAACAAAACCAAAGTTCTTGGTAGAAGCCAGATGCTAGCAATATTTATTAAGTAGAGATGAGTTAAAGTTCATAAGCAAACTTATCTGTTTTTATTCACTGAATTTTCCCTCTTCAGCCACTTCTTAAAGTCAGCATGTCTATGAGAGACTCCTTGATACTCGTCCTCCGAAAAGCCATGTTTGCAAGGTATGGAGCATTCCTTGAGTCGCAGGAAGTTATGTCTTCTAATGTTAGGACTAAAAGATAACTCTGCTGTCCTCCCGTACTACCTGTTCACAGCGGCCATGCAAATATCTAATCCAGCAGAGCACACTCAGCAAGTAAGGCATTATTCTAAGTGCCTTCTGTACTCTTTTCATTTAGTCTCCAGGGCAACTCTGCAAAGGGAAAAAAAATCTCAATTCCTGATTACCAGATAAGGAAATTAAGACTTAGAGAAGATTGGTGACTTTTCAGAGGTCAAAGAGTAGATGATTGTGAAAGTAATCTAATGTCAGAGCTTGCGATTTCAAGTGCTGTGCTGTACCGCCCCTTGAGTCAGCTCAGGGACAAGTGCCATTGCCACATTCTCTGACACTTGAGCGGGCAGCAGCACCAAAGGGAAAAGCACTTTAGTTAAGAAGAGTAAATATACTTAACCTCATTTTAGTGAACGTGGACTAGTGGCTTGTTAGACCCAATGAGCTGTTGAGGGGCTAAATTCTGTTTGTTAGCTCATCCAGTGCCTCCTGACCTCTCTTTATTTAATGGTATAAAAGGTAAGGGTGATAGTACTGTCTCCTAACAATAAAATGAAACCGTAACATGTGGAAACCATTTGTTATTTTAAGGATAAAATAGCACTCTTAAGGTCACATTGACCATATCATAATATATTTGTGAATATCCAGAGTTAGCTAGTAAATAGCCATGTTGTTATCTCTGTTTTAGAAGTGACGGTTTTCTCCTTTCTCACACCCACCCACCGGCATAGCTGATAGGCCAAGATTGTGTGTTGTAGTATCTGTAACAGGAATCAGTTGAGCCTCAGCAAGCACATGAACGTGTCGTTTTTCTGGATAGAGGATTTACATGACACAGGGTACTGTAGTCCTGGGTGAAGAAAAGGGAGCTCGAGAGGAGCAGTCCATCAGGCACAATAGTCTTTGCTAATTTCCTTTGCTCTACTCTCATCCCCACAAAGAAAGCAGGATGAAGCACAGTACTGATAGAGTCATGACATGAGGTAGATATTAAACAAATTGATCTGAACTGTCTCACTGTTAATTGATCCTCCTGTCTCACTTCCCAAATGAGCTTATTTCAAACATAAACTGCTGCTTATTTCAAACATAAACTCAGTTTTGTGTTTCATTGTTTATGCAGACACCTTTTTTTGTGGAACTAACTGGGTTTTTCCTGCATATTCTTATGAAATGAGTGGTGCTCAATAACTTTTCTGTGTATTTCTGAGCTAGACAGCTTGATGCCCGAAAATCTGCAGTTGCTGGGTTTTTGCTACTCCTGAAGAACTTCAAAGTTTTGGGCAGCCTGTCATCCTCCCAGTGCAGTCAGTCCATTGGCGTCAGTCAGGTAAGGATTGTTCACACTGGCATTGATATAGGAGGCAAATACCCAAGTCATTTTCTTATTCCTGTTATGGTTGGAAGAGTGCGCCTGAACCTGAGAACTTCATGATGATGACGATGATACCAACCAAGACGTGGTGTATGTTGGATGATACTATGCAGTGCAGAGGTCACTAGCCTCAATGTGGCTGTGAAACTAAACACTTGATTAAAATGGGGCTAGTCCAGAGTGAGTTGTGCTATGTATATAAAAATCCTATTTTGAAGATCTAGTGTGAAATAGAAGAATGTAAAATACCTCTATTTTGGTTATGTTTGGGTTAAATAAAATATTAAAATTTATTTCACCTGTTGTAGTTGTTAAGTTGTATTTTACTTTCTTAATATGACTACTGGAAATTTTTAAATTATATATGTGGCTTGCACTTACGCTTCATAATTGCTCGCTTTTGTTAAGTAGCACTGCACTATCCAGTACTACTTAAGTGCTTTGTATTTGTTATCTCATTTAATCTTCACAGTAATTCTCTGAGGATACATACTACTATTATACCCATTTTAAAAATAAGTCAATGCATTGGGCATGGGGGTGCATGTTTGGGAAGTGAGACAGGAGGATCACTGTTGAATTCAAGGCCAGTGTGAGTTCAAGACTGACCTGAACTACATAGCAAGACTGTCCAAAAAAAACAAAAGAACCTTGAAAAGTCAGTTTACTTACTTTACATATGCATGTCTATTAACCCTTGTGATCTAAGAAGTCAAAACTTTTTACAGTAATTTGATGATCTAGGCTTTGGAACAATAAAACTGTCTTCATGATTTAAACGGTGTACTATAAATTGATGGAACAATGAAATTGTTTTATGGTGTAAATGGCATGTGTTACTATGTAACTTACAAGTGGATTTATCGTACTTATTTTTTTTTATTTTAAAGAGTAAAAGAAGGATAACATAATAATATGGGGGGCTTACCAAGTTACAGACAAAGTGGTAGGAAATTATCAATGGTTTGTTTTGTATATATCGTACTTATATTTAATTAGGAATCCTTTATTTCCCTAGTATAACTGTATACAACTTTTATCTGTAACATATAGCCTTAGATTAAATATTAAGAACACTGGGTATTGTTTGTTATTCCCATTTTAAGGATTAAAAAAACTTTCTTTGGATTAAAAAAACTAAGATTGAGAGATTGAATAATTTGCTCAAGGTCATATATTCAGTGAAGGGTAGAACTTGACTTCAGTGTAAATATCTTACTATTAAGCCTGGTGTAAAGATTAGTAAGGATTTGGAAATTCTTAGTGGTGTTTTGTATTTGTGTTTTTCTAGTACTGGGGATTGAACCCAGGGCCTCTTGTGTGCTAGGCAAATGCTGTACTGAGCTACATTCCAGCTACTCTTTCCCCTTTTAATTTTATTCTATTTTGAGGCAGGGCCTTACTAAGTTGCCTAGGCTGGCCTCAAACTCGTGATCTTCTGCCTCAGCTTCTAGAGTAACAGATTGTAGACATGTGCTGCCATACCCAGTGGCAGTTTTATTTTAAATTAAATAAAGTATGTTAGTTCTTTTTTGTGTCCATTTCTGAACAAAAGAATGTCTTTAAGCCTCTAGAATTTGTGGTAGTAAAGAGATGGATTCTGTTAGGAATTAAAACTAAGGAAGTATCTAATAAAGTGATCAGTGCTTCCTAAGAAGCTGGCATTGTCAAGGAAACCTTGAAGAACAGGAGTTGATTTTATTAAAATGCTTGAAAATTCTTATTCTAAACCAGAATGGCACGTATCACTGCATGGTAATGATGGTGTCTGCCTCAGTCCTGGGTTTCAGCATAGGAAGGCTAAGTAATAAGTTTCTCTGACCAAGAACATAGGCTCATTTTCTTCCTTAATGGAAATTACTTTGGTAAACTAGACATGCACTGGCTTCTCTTTCTTTCAGGTTCATGTGGACGTTCATAGCCGTTATAATTCTGTTGCCAATGAAACATTTTGCCTTGAAATTTTGGATAGTTTGAGGAGATGCTTAGGCCAACAGGCTGATGTCCGAGTCATGCTTTATGAGGTAAGTCAGTAAAGTGGAAGGAATATGTCCGTCATTAACATTCTTTTTTATGTTGACTTTTTTTTCCTATTATAAAAGTATAGTAGTTGTGCCCTTACAGAGTTAGGACCAGAAGGTTGTGATAGTGAGTCAAAAAGATACTGTAATTGTAAATAGTACTTGATATTTTTCATATTTTAATTTGAAATATTTAAATATACTACTGATTTGCCAGACTTTTGATTTAAGATCAAATTTGCTATTCGTAACTTCCTGTTTCTTGTATAGGCCATTCCCTATATTGGTTATATTGGTTATATTTTTTTCTAAAGTTATATAAAAACTTTCAAAAAACTTTAAAGACAGATTTGGTACAGAAACCTTTTAGATGGGTTGAGCTCCCTCCCTTTTTGTTAATTTTCTTACCCTGAATTCATCAGAAATTATTTTTAGTCTTCAGTTATTTCCAAAACATTCAGCTTAGTTTTTATAAAAACAATTTTTCTTTTTGCACTTTGTTTTCAGATCTTTATAGAATGTCCACTTGAATCATAAAATGACCGTCCAGTTAGGAAAAATGGGGGACAAATACAGCTACCACTTCTGATTAGCATGTAACTTACCCTGCAGGATCCGCATGCGTGATCTTGGAGGACATGCTGCTGTTCGTAGCACTTACTGTGGCATGTATTTCAACATTTGTATTTCAGAAAGGAAGGAGAGCATTAGATAATGTATTTAGTAGATTAAATGGGAACTATTTCAGAGAACACCACATTAATGGAGAACATATTAAAAACTTCTAATAGTATTGCTAATTCTACCACTCACATATGCATATTTGTGCAAAATTGGAATGAGTTATATTTTATCTCCTAACATGTAATTATTTTCCTATTTCATTACATTTTCTTGAAATGCAGTTTTTAATGTCAGCTGATGATCAACAATAATTTAAAAGTTTATTGTGGAGCATTTTTCCTGATTTTTCACTATGACAGATGTTTAAATGCCCACATTGCTGGGTCAAAGACTAAAACATTAGGAAGCCTCTTGGTGCCCTTTCACAAGCACTTAAATGGGCATGCAGGTTCCATGCTAGTGATCCAATAAACTCAAGGCCTTGTACACGCTATGCATGTGCTGTACCAGTGAGCCAGTGGATTTTTTTTTAATATAAAACTATTTATTGACCACTGCTCACCATTATTTACAATAAAGTAAACAATATACATTAGGATAACATTCTGACTACTACAAAGTTGATTTCATGGCTTTTGCTGAAAACAGTAAACCGAATACTAAAAAGATTCAGCCTACATGTAAGGAACAAGTTGGGGTCAAGAAAAACATGCAGGTCAATAATTTAGATTACAAGTTTGTTCACTCATTTATTCTAACAGGTCTTAAAGTGTGAACACCTGTTGCCACTCAGTAGGTTTCCATGAGCCACGTCTTAAGACATCCAAGAATCCTGACTTTTGAGTACAGATTTCAACTTGTTGTAAAGTAATGGGTCATGAAGAATCTTTAATGTTTCCTTAACAAGTCTTCCTTAGCTAATTCAAACAAACTAGATTTTGACTTGCTACCTTATTTTGGTGGGGAAGTTGTTGGTAGAGCTAAGAATTCTTTTCAGGAATTTTGCAAGTTAACTGCATTTTTGTGACTAAAGTCACAGATACGAATTCTGATAGAGCTGGTTTGAAAATGTCCAAATTAACCACAGAATTATCTATTCAACTTGAAAGGTTATGCCTTCAGGAAAACTTTCTATTTAACTAAAGTGATTTATTTCTTAGGTTGCTCAGAATAATAGCATCTCAAAGATGAGCTTATCACCCATAGTTTATATACGTATTTTATTTATACACACACAAACAAAAAACTCAGAATGGCCCTTAAGGATGTGAGCTAAAACATGAGTTCTGATTGAATTTGCCTGTGGACAATTCCCCCAACATTTAGAAAAGCAGAGGAAATATATCGGGCTATCAAATGCTCTTGTCTGGTAAAGGAAGCAACTACAAAAGCTTTTATTTGTTCAAAGTAACCAGTGCTATAGATGCAAAACAAAGAAAACCCAACAACTCCCCCAAATACTATTTTCAAAACCAACATATTAAACTTGATTTTCATTAGAATGCTGTTTTTTTCCACACTGTTAAATCAAAACCAAGACTCATATTTTATATATATATATATATATATATATATAAATGATGTAAGTTATTGAGCTTCATCTTCTGGACAAGAATGCCAAGTTAGTCTCTCTTCATAGAAAGCACTTACAATCTGAGGACATTTCATATTTGCCTCTTTTGCCAGCACCAAGTCAGCCTCATCAGAATCTTTCCATTTCATGAGAAACATCAATTCTCCACTACTATCTGTGGCACCAATTATTTGTTCAGGATCAAGACCTCTAGCAAAGCCTCTAGGTTTGTCAGCAGCATCTCTTTTTTTCTTTGATTTCCTATCATCAGATTCACTGTCAGATAAAGATTTTCTTTTTGTACCATCTTTTTCTTTACCAGCTTTTTGAGAATTAAGAAATGCTTCAATTAACTCTAGACAATCTAAATTTCCTTCAGGTTCCCATGTATTGTCAGCATCTGTAAATCCCTTCCACTTCAGAAAACACTCCACTTTCCCATTAACCACACGTCGGTCCAGTACTTTTTCTACCACAGATTCTTCAGGTTCTGCTTCCTCAACTTTTTTCCATTTTCCATTTGTTTCTTTCCCATTTTTTGCAATGTAGTTTTATTGGAGGCCATTTTTTATTATAGACTTGAACGGCTATTACGTCTGCGCATGGTGACGGTGCCAGAGGGTCCCCAGAGGGAAGGCGGGAAGGAGGGGGAATGGGGTGAGCACTGTGACCTGGGTCTTCTTGGCTGCCAAATGGATTTTATTTTTTTTAATTTTTTTTTTTTTAATTTAAAAGAGTAAAAGAAGGATAACATAGTAATAGGGGGATTTACTGAATTACAGACAAAGTGGTAGGACAATATCAATGGTTGTTATTTTACTATTGGTACCTTCAAGATAGTTTCTCAGGAAAACAAATAGACAAATAATAGTGAGTTACAGACAGAAATGGTAGGAAATTATCAATGGTTGTTATACTATACTTTGGTTTCTTCAAAGTGGTTTCTAGGGAAAACAGAGCTATACGTGTGTGATCAATTAAATAATCATTGACTATTCTCAATGGTTGTTGTTGAAAACACATAGTAATAGACATACATCCATTTATGAAATAGCGCAGGAACAATAGAAACTACAGAGTTATGGACAGATTGATAGGAAATTATCAATGGCTGCTGTAATACATGTTGGTATCTTCAAAGTGGTTTCTCAGGAAAACAAAGATATGCGAGAAAGATCTAACAAGTAGTTACAGCCTAAGGGTTGTGAAAAATAGCGGATTACCTCCTCATCAGTGACTCCTTTCACTGAGGTGTGACGGCTGGAAGGAAGGCCAGGATTGAAAAGAAGGACCGAGAGACTAGCACCAGTGTCTAGCAGTAGGCTGTTTACTTTTTCCTCTATAGTCATGATTACAGGGGGTTCCTCCTTTAAGATGATGGTCTGGCCAGAGGGAGAAGGCAGAGTATGCCCTGGGCCCCTTCATTCCTTTTGGATCAGCTGGTAGGAGGGGTCGGAGCTCTGGAGCCTTCACTGCCAATGGATTTTTTAATCACCTAAAAAACCTTTTGTTGACACTTGTTATGATAAAATCTCTCAGAAACGGTGACCAAAATGGGAATATATACAAGCATACATATTTAAAAGGAAGAAGTAATATCAGAAAACCTAACAAAATGAGTTTAGTTGGTAAAGTTATAGGAGATAAGATCAGTTATGTGCAAAACTCAATTATATTTTTATGTACTAAACATTGAATAATTAGAAATTGAAATAAAATATTTAAATAAATAAAAAATAAGCATAAATCTTACATTAAGAGGCAAAGTACAGTGGTACTGCAGTTATCAAATGGCTCCAAGCTCAAACTTTACACTACTTGAACAGTGAAGTTCAGAAGAGATCTGCTCAGTGTTCATAACTTTGCTGCATAACTGAATCAAAAATCCAACATGAAGAACCTGTGTGGGTGAAGAGTGAGGCGTGCTTCTCCTCTGGCTGCGGACACAAACGGGCGACACTGCAGCCTAAGCACTGCTCTCGCCCAGGCAACATACAGTGCTTGCGTTAAAACATTTGTCACTGTGCTTTTTTGTTTGTTTGGTTTTTGCATTTTTTTTTTTTTTATTTTATTTTATTTTATTTTATTTTAAAGAGTAAAAGAAGGATAACATAATAATGGGGGGGGCTTACCAAATTACAGACAAAGTGGTAGGAAATTATCAATGGTTATTGTTTTACATATTGTTATCTACAAGATAGTTTCTCAGGAAAACAAACAGACAAATAATAGTGAGTTACAGACAAAAGAGGAGATTATCAATAGTTGTTGTACTATACTTTGGTATCTTCAAAGTGGCTTCTAAAGAAAATACATAGAGCTTTACATGAGTGACCTATTGAATAATCATTAACTTTTCTCAATGGTTGTTGTAGGAATGCATTTTATTTATGTAAAATATCATAATGATGGCTCCAAAGAAAGTTAGTGTAACCGCAGTGGAGCTAAGAGGAAAACTGAGACATGGTAGAGTTAAAGAAATCACTGTAAAATTTGTTAAAGTCCTGGAGAAGTGAATTTATAACTGTGACTTTTGTATCTCAGATCCAGTTATTTGGTTTTCCATTATTTCTTATGGGAAAAATATGTTCCGTTTTTGAACTTTTCTGTGTTTGAACATGAATTTGGAATGAACTGAGTTCAACAAGGAAGGTATCCCTTTACTCCAAAGCCAGAGTGATTGTGAAGAAATCTAATTTTAATTTAGATAAGTAATCTAAACTTTCTGCATTGTTTCTCTGTCTAGCAAATGTGTTTTCCATTTTTATCAAAGAACTGACAATAAGATAAAGAAGTAGCTTATGTATTGATTTGATTTCTCCTAGGGGTTCTATGATGTTCTTCGAAGGAACTCTCAGCTGGCTAATTCAATTATGCAGACTCTGCTCTCACAGGTAAAATATATTTTTATGGATAGCACAGGGAAATCAGATAATGAGGTACTGAGAGGTGATTGATGTTTTCCAGACTTTTCAAAATATAAAATTATACCCAACCAGTACACTGGTACGTTATGAATGTACTTGATAATGCCATGCTCTCCTGGTTGTTGTATTTCAGTCGCCTCTGCCTGCCTGCCCTATTGTCATCATCTAACTGCTACCCCTGTGAGTTAGCAGTCAGCATCTTATGTAGAAGGACATTTTGAAGAACCATTTATGTAGAATCTATCAGCATCTGTGTCTGTTATATTTCTAAAAAAAAACAGATCTAGAGCAAGTATAGCAACATACTGAAATGTGTTCTTTCCAAGCAACAGATAGATGCATTGGTGTCTGTTAGGTTATTTTCTGTACTCAGTTTTTTTTTTTAAGTGTTTTATTATAAAATACTTCAAAGGACAGTGAAGATGAGAATTCAGATCTAATGTAAAAACTTTTCACTGTCAACATTTATTCAGTAAGCATTGTATTTTTCAGCAGTTTTATTGAGCTACAATCTACAATCTATTACATGCCATATAATTTTTATTGTTATCTACCATAAGGGGTTGTCTACTCCCTTAATCCACTTCGTTAGACATGAAAGCGAGCTCACTCTCTCACGGACGCCCTTTCTTGCTCTTCTTGCCATTGCTTCATGATAATTCTGAAGAAAGCTCCATTTGAAATTAAGGTCTCAGATACGTGGAAATTATTGGACGATCTTTTGCTGTCCAGAAAGCTTTTCACTGGGAGTTGGGATTGATCTTGTGTAAAATTATCTATATTCCCATGTTTAACAAGAATAAAAATTATACTTGATGATAAAGAGCAGTACTTCTCAACTTAGGTTAACATATAGACCAATATAGTTCTGCAGACTTCAAAAGAGAAGAGAAAAATAAACAATAGTTAATATTTTTCAGCCCTATTGTGTGCTAAAATGTGTTTGAAACACTTTACTTGTATTGTCATATTTGATCCTTACATAGCATTCACATTAACAGTATCATCATTTTTCAAATGAGAACCAGGGTACGGATAACTGTCAAAATCAGTATAAAAGGTGGTACTGGTATTTTTTTTTTAATTTATCTTTTTTTTCTTTTTTCTTTGGTCTTTTTGAGAGAGGATCTCACTATACAGTTCAGGCTGGCCTTGAGCTCACTTTGTAGCCCAGGCTGGTCTTGAACTCGCAACGATCCTTCTGCATCAGCCTCCCGAGTGCTGGGATTACAGGCGTGCCCCACCACACCCAGCAGTACTGGTATTTTAAACTCAAGACAGTCTGACTCTGGAGCCTCTGTCACCATCAGGCTTTTCTGAAAATACTAATTACCTGTGCAAGTGTAGGAATTGGTGGGGAAGTATGGTAAAAATGAAATAAAGATAATATTTATCATTATTTTGCCTAAAGCAAGGGCAAGAAGACGTAGATCAGCCAAAGCAAAATGAATTTTGGTACACTATCCTTTGGACACCCGGGGAATGTATGTTAGAAGACAGTAGAGATGGAAGGTACTATTAGCTTTATACCAGTTAAAAAAAAATGACAGGTACTCACAAGCCAAAATGCTTTTTCCCTTCACTGTATGCAGTTAAAACAGTTCTATGAGCCAAAACCTGATCTGCTGCCTCCTCTGAAATTAGAAGCTTGTGTTCTGGCCCAAGGAGATCAGATCTGTCTACAAGAACCACTGGTAAGCCTTTTATTCCTCTTACACTATAATCATTTTGTTTCCTATCAATCTTCAGAAAAGTACCTTTCCCTGTGAAACTCTTCCTGGTTCTCCAAGATTTTACTCTTAAATATTCCTTCCTTACCATTTCAGACCCATTAGCACCTTTTATTTATTGGTAAGATAAATACATTAAAAAGTCTTCAGAATGGCAGTGTCACCTAAGAGCAGATGAACCCAGAGACCTGCTTCCTTAATCTAAAGGGAAATACGTGATTTAGGCTGAGCTAGAATTGGCACTGTTGCACCTTCAGAGGATTTCAGACAGGTTTTTTTCTTTTTTTTTTCTATTCTTGTTATTTAGCTTCAGAAACACAAGAAAAAGAGAAAAACCAGAAACTCCCCACCCCAAGTGACTTCGAACTCATGACAGATGAGGTGGGAGGAAGGAGTGTTTGAGTTGTCCTGTCCTGTCTTCATTTTGTACCTTCTGTGCTACGAGATATCTCCAGCCTAGATGTAAGATGCTGTGGTGTTCTCCCAAAGCTTCCTTCACCATATGTCCACATCGTCAGAATGGCCTCTGGGACTCAGGAGCTACAGACTGAACTTTACACTTTGTGTCAAACAAAAGACAGCACATCTGATACCACGTTCTGAACTGTCAGCTTCTACCTATGCGGCTAGTTCCTTTGGGAAAGGTTTAGAAAACAACGTTGTTAGTTAAGTTACTAATCCAGGTGGACTTAATTTATGATGTTAATGAATAATGTAAGCCTCATCCATAAGAATTTTTTGCTGATTGTCAGCAGCTTCGCAGGTTGTCCCTTAACATTCAAGAATATTATTTACTTATTTAATGTATTGTTTTCTCTTACAGGATTATCTGCTGTGTTGCATTCAGCATTGTTTGGCCTGGTACAAAAGCAGAGTGATGCCCCTCCAACAGGGAGATGAGGAAGAAGAAGACGAGGGATTCTACCAAGAACTAGATGACATGTTGGAGTCCATTACTAATAGAATGATTAAGAGTGAGCTAGAAGACTTTGAACTGGTAAGAGCTAAGTCCGCAGGTGTATTGAATCAGGAAGTCTTTCAGTTCATTAACTTTTTATCTTGTGTCTTCTAGGATAAATCAGCAGATTTTTCTCAGAGCACTGGTACTGGCACCAAAAACAATATCTGTGCATCTCTTGTGATGGGAATCTGTGAGGTTTTAATAGAATATAATTTCTCCATAAGTAATTTCAGGTAAGGTGTTGTTATGACTGCACTTACAGTTTGATAAATATTCCAGTATCTATATATGTAGAGAGAGACTTCCTTTATTCTAGCAATATGCAAGGTACACCATAGATCACAGATGATAATGTCTCTTAAATGGATATCTAGCCTAAGACCAACCTATGTTCTTTCCCCAGAGAAACACCAAAGCATATGCCAGTCAGGCCTGCAAATGTTATCCCTCTAGCAGTATTCCATTTATTCAAATTCTCCAGATCCTGACTCAAGTACTCCTGATTTTTCAAGTACTCCTGATATTAATAGATTTTTTCTTTTTTGTCTTTTTGAAACAGGGTCTCACTATGCAGTTCAGGCTGGCCTTGAGCTCACTTTGTAGCCCAGGCTGGTCTCAGACTTGCTACGATCCTCCTGCCTTCCAAGTGCTAGGATTATAGACATGCGCCACCGCATCTGGCAGGAGAATTTTTATTAGTGTTAATATTGGACTTTCATGCTCTGCCTTGACTGGTAAATAAGGAAAGACAAAGATCAAGATAGACTGCTGTGATCTGGGAATAGTGTTAAAGCGTTCACAGTATTATATGTAAAATACATTAAAAATATTGTGCCGGACATGGCGGCGCATACTTGTAATTCTGTCACTGAGAGGCCGAGGTAAGAGGATCAAGTTCAAGCCCATCCCAGGCAATTTAGTGAGAGCCTGTTTCAAAAGTAAAAAAGGGGTTGGAGATGTAGCCCAGTGTGAAGGTCCTGGGTTCAAACCCCAGTACTAGGAAAAGAAAAAACTGATTTCCTTACTACTAAAAGTAAACCATGATAAAAGTAAACCACGATGTTCTGATGATTGACCTTGATCTCATTTTCTTTTACACAGTAAGAATAAATTTGAGGATGTTCTGAGCTTGTTTATGTGCTATAAGAAACTCTCTGATATCCTTCATGAAAAAGCTGGTAAAGGCAAAGCTAAAATGACCAACAAGACACGTGATAGTTTTTGGTCCATGAAATTTGTGTCTGATCTTCTCACCGCTCTTTTCAGGTAAGGCTCTATTTGTGTGTGTAAAGGTAGCAGCTTGGCACAGATGATACTGCCTACTCGATTTCAATTGGACCATCCAAGTTTAGAGTTGCAGTTCTTACCCGGTGTGCAGTAAGAAATGTTAGGAGGTGGTTTAGTTTGGTTTGGTTTTGGTTTTGGTTTTTTTGAGACAGGGTTTTGCTATGTAGTACAGACTGGCCTTGAACTCGCTGTGTAGGCAAGAGTGGCCTCAAACTCGTGGCGCTCTTCCTGCATCAGCTTCCCAAGTGCTGGGATCACAGGTGTGCAGCACCATGCCCAGCTGTTTGGAGGTTTTGATGTTCTTGGAATGAAAGTAGTATAATCACGGGTCAGGTCAGCATTTTAAAGAGGTGCCTCAGATTATTAAGGCTGAATAGGAATTGGAATAGTGAATGAAAAGAGAGGGATCAATTCCAGTGAAGTCTTGTAAGAAAACTTACCTAAATAGTTTGAACACAACAATGGGTTAAACAAGAAGAAAGGAAAAAAATGAATTTTAAAAAGTGGGGGAGGCAACCAGGAAAGCTAAAAGACTAAGACTGACATTGAAATTTTGTCCACATGTAGAGGATTAGGGGAGGGCGGAGCAAAGGAGGTAACACTAAGAATGACTGAAAGACCGCAGACTGCCTGGACAGTCTGCTGTTTGATTTGCTCGCTGCTGCTGTTCTGAGCAGTCCCTAGACAGCCTAATTCCGGATCCAAATACAGTAACATAGGGCAGTGTTCCTTGTTTTGTTTTGTTTTTTCCTCTCTAGGGATAATATCCAAAGCCATGAAGAGAGCCTGTCTGTTCTCAGGTCCAGCAGTGAGTTCATGCGCCACGCAGTGAATGTGGCCCTGCAGAAGGTGCAGCAGCTAAAAGAAACGGGGCATGTGCGTGGCCCTGATGGCCAAAACCCAGACAAGATCTTTGAGAACCTCTGCAGCATAACTCGGTGAGGCACTCGCACACTCAGAAAGCTCCTCGCTTGCTTGCTTGCTTGCTGTCCCAAGAAAAGAAATTGGGGATGGGAATAAAGGTGATTTACTGAAAGTGAAATAAGCATTGTGCCATGTCTGTACTCCTAGCAGTCTGAGAGGCTGAGGTAGGGCAGTCACAGATTTGAGCCCAGCAAGGACAACTTAGTGACTTAGCAGGTGCCTGCCTAAAAATTAAAAATAAAAGGCTGGGGATATAGCTCAGTGCGAGGGCCCTGGGTTCAATCCCCAGGACTGGGTAGGGAGATAGGGGCAGTGAAATTGCAATCGTTGGTATTAAGTCTTCTAGTCCTGCTTTGGTGTGGATATCACTAAACACTTACCAGAATGTCTAAAGTAAATTAATATGACCATACCAGAGTGTTGCCATAATTGTGTGGAGGAGTTTGAGCTTCTACTCTGTCATTGAAAACGTAAGCTGATACAGCCACTCTGAAAAAAAAAAAAATTCTTTTGTTAGCATATGCTTGTGATATATAATATATATACATCATGGAGTATTGGTGACAATTTCTTAAAAAAGTGTACAACCACTGTATAATCTGCCCTTAGCCAGGCATGATGGCACATACTTGTAATCCCAGCATTTGGGAAGCTGAGGCAGAAGGACTGCTGCAAGTTCGAGGCCAGCCTGGGCTACAAAGTGAGTTCAAGGCTAGCTTGAACCTACATAGTGAGACACTGTCTCAAAAAGACAAAAAAGAAAAAAATCTGCCCATACTCCTTTTTGGTATTTACCTCAAAAGAGATGAAAGCACGTGTCCCTGTACAGCATTGTACACATGGTTCATGACTGCTTTACTTGTAATAGAAAAATCCAGAAGGAACAAAGATTGCCCATCAACAGATGCACAAATAAACTGGCAAATGGGCAGGCTGTGGTACAGTCAGCCATAAAACAGAACAGACTCTAACCCGTGCATCGGGGAGTGACTCTGACAAGCATGTGCTAGATGAGGAGAGCTGGGCTCAAAGGGTTATGTAAGGAATGACATCACTTGTTTCTCTCCCTAGTACTGAGGAGTAAATTCAAGGCCTTCACATGGCGCTGTCTCCTGCCCTTTTTTTATTTATTATTTTAAGAAAGTCCCTTAGTTGCTCAGACAATGCTCAAATTTGCCATCTTCCTGCCTCAGCGTCCCAGAGTCCTGGGATAACAGGTGCACCACCATACTTGGTTAAGTGATAATCACTTTTAAATGATATTTTGTAAAAAGTGTCACTATAGGGACAGAAATCAGATTGTTTGATTGAAATGGAAAGAAAGACTTGACTACCAAAGAGCACACAGGAACTTTTGGAGTGACGAAAATATCTTAGATTTTATACCTGTGTGTTTTTTAAAATTCACAGAACTGCTCACTGGTAGGATACAAAGTTTACTCTGTAAATTTACCTTAAGGAGCCTGCCTTTAGAAATAAATTTCTTCCCCCATTTCAGGGTCTTGCTCTGGAGATACACTTCAATTCCAACTTCTGTGGAAGAGTCAGGGAAGAAGGAGAAAGGAAAGAGCATCTCGCTGCTGTGCTTGGAGGGTCTGCAGAAGATACTCACTGCTGTGCAGCAGTTCTATCCGCCCAAGACTCAGGAGTTTCTCAGGGCTCTGGGTAGGCATCGATTTGAAGCCTTCTGCTTCCTGCCCAGCCCCCTTGAGTCTCTTTGTTCACCTCCTAGGGGACACCTGAGAGCTAAGGAGTGACAGCCAGGGGACTCAGGAGTAAACTCAGGCATTTTCTGGGTTGCATTTAACCACAAATAGCAACTGGAAAATGGAATACAGTATTAAGGAATCGCAGAATTTGAGCTGGATGTGATGGCACTCTGGGAGGCTGACGCAGAAGGACTACAAGTTTGAACCCAGACTGCATCTTAGCAATTCAGGAGACCCTGTCTCAAAAGAGAAGGAAGGGGAGGGCTGATATATCTCAGGGTTTAAGCCCCTGTACTCCCACACACACAGGAGAGGGGTAAAGTGAGAGAGGAAGGAAGGAAGGAAAAGAAAGAAAATTGTGACATTTTAGAAATAACACGGAAACTTGCCTTCATACATTTTGACTTTCTAAAATTGTAGCTATTAGAAGTCCAAAAAGGAATAAGTCAATTTCAAAGAAACAGAGTTCTTTTCTACTTCCAGAGGTCACGGGTAAGGAAGGAGAAGATGATGCAGAAGTCAGTGTTACTCAGAGAGCAGCATTCCAGATCCGACAGTTTCAGGTGAGAAGCCTAGGCACGCTGCTGTGCTGACCTGGAGGACACTTGGCAAGGACAGACTGTGAATAAGTTGCACAGGAAATCATTTTCCCAAGTCACGCCAGCAAGAGCACTTAGCTCTCAGAGTGTGGGGTAATACATTTGAAAGGGTCCTAAGGAGGCTGTGGTTTTGGCCACCCCAACCTGCAGAACTCGCTGCCTTCCAGAATCCCTGTTTGAGATGACATAAAGAGACAGCCTGGAGTCCTTCAAAGTACCAGGAATGGCTGCTGGGGTAGCTGTGTAGCAGGGAATGAAAAGGAAAATGTCTGCCCTCCTAAGCTCACACTATAGTAAGGAGACTGAGAAACAGAATACATAGCATTTCAGTTATTAGGGAATGTGTAGGGAATGCTGGGCTTGCGGCATGATCTACACCTGCAACCAAGGGATAGGATCCAGGAAGATTAGAACTGCCAGAAACTGTACCACTTTATTCCTGATGTAAATTTGACAGGGCCTTGGAGAAGAAAGATTTCATAGTTTTAAGAAAATTTGCAGTTTATACAGAAAACAGAACTACTATTCAATACAGGTTTATGTTCAGATTTTATCCTTTTGGGAATGTGGTAGGTCGGGATTCTTTTTGTCCCAGTCTTAGGAATCTCTGGCTTCGGGCCTCTTCTCCCTGATAAGAACATGTCTGCTCATGTTTCTGTGCATACTTTTCTTTTTCAGAGGTCCTTGTTGAATTTACTTAGCAGTGAAGAGGAAGATTTTAATAGCAAAGAAGCGCTTCTCCTGGTCTCTGTTCTGTCCACCTTGGCCAAGCTCCTGGAGCCCTCATCTCCTCAGGTACTATGCTGTGCATTCAGTGCCTTTTAGCAACCCTCAGAAAGCAAGTATTACTGCTTTGCAAAAGTGTATGTCGACATATCCTCCTGAAGTCTAGCATATTTAAAATATTATTTCATTATGCACCTGTTAATTTAAAAAAAAAAAACAATGTGGGTGTATAACAAAAAAAGATATCTTTTCCTATATAACATTTCTACTATAACATTCAACCATGTAAGGGCCAGAACATACTGCTTTTGTTTGGCTGCTGTAAGTGGTAAAGTATATACTGTAGAAAAAAACCTCATGTTTATGGTTGGTGCTTTCAGTATTCTTTTTTTTTTTCAAACCCCTGGTGTTAGAAATTGAACCCAGGCCCTTCACAGTGAGCTGCATCCCTGGCCATTTTTATTTTTTATTTTGACACAGGATCTTATTAAGTTCCCCAGGCTAGGCAGTGTTGCCATCCTCCTGCCTCGGCTCCCAGAATTCTGAGATTACATGTGTGTGCCATCACACACAGCGATGGCCTTTATAATGTAGTCTTGATGTTTCTTGACGTTTACTCCTTCTTTCCTAAGATGAAAGCATGTTAATTATGAAGAAAGTAATTGATATTTAGCAATTGGATTTCTCAATAAAGCTGTGTGGTACTAGTTTGGGGGAGAATTCAACAAAGGATGATGATTAAGTCAGAAAGTATGACCATTGTCCCAAAGCAGAAACAAGTGCAGAGATTGGTTGTCTGTATGCACACGTGGATGTGCGCACATACACTTAGAATTGTGCCACCCACACAAGGATCTGCACACAGGAGAATAAGAGGAGGGCTACATTTGGTGGATCTTTTCCACTCGCCAATATTTCCCTGCCAGATAGTAAAGAACATCCCAGGAGCAAGGAGTTGGTACTCCAAGCCCAGCCATGTTCTGATCTGTGAGGAAGGCCATTCGAAGGCCTCCTCCCATAAGCCTCTGCGCAGGAACCGCTGCTCTGGAGAATACCGTGGATGTGACGTGTGAGCACTAGAACACAGACCTGCCTGACTTTCCTATGTCCGAGTTGCAGGTTACCCTGAAGAAAGTTCATTTTCTGCCATCTTCGTCTCAGCGGCAAGCGGCTCACTCCTGCTGGACTTTCAATTTCTTGTTTTCATAGGGCAACTTTTGCAGCAGAAAGGGAAGGGCTGGGAAAGAAACACAGAGATAGAAATTTGAGCTTTGGGCAGTTCGGGGAAACAGATATGTCTGGAAAGGCTGATAGTTGCAGAAAGAAGTTTAGTTTGCTCTTCTCCACTGTCCCATCTCATTAATTATAGGCAGTGTCATTACTTTTTTTTAAATTGAATTTTGAATGGGTAATGAAGTCCTATGATTTGAAAACCAGAAATTATCAAAATACTTACAGCAGGTGTCCCTCACGATCACGTTCTCCATCCATCCTGCTCCTCTGTATCCCAAATAAGTAAACACTGCCTCCAAGTGTCTTTTAGGAGTTTCTCTGCCTATGCAAGCCAACATGAAGTTAGATTCCTATTCCCACCCTGCCCCTCTTGATACAAAAGCTGCTTCTGCTCTGTGCTTACTTCATTTAATACTGTATTCTGGAGATCTTGTAATGTCAATGCAGAGTGAACCTTCAGTTAGTCTCTTACTTTACCTTTTTCCCTTAAATAAAAACTGAATTTTTAGTCATTTGCACTTGAGGTTCATGTCATCTCAGTGCCTTTGTAGCTGAAAGCCGTTCCAAAGAACCACTTTTGCGGAAAGTGTCTGGTGATTCAGGCATGTGCTGTCCCAAAATTTAAGTCTCCTTTACTAAGAAATTTTGTCTGGTTGTTTTGTTTGTTTTGTCTTTTTTGTTCCTTCCCTTTTTCCACCCTCTCTCTTTTAAACTCCTTTGGCCTTTTGGTTCCTAGAAGCTAATTCTACTTTCCTTATAGCCAGGATTTTCGTGTCCCACAGCTCTGCTTTCCATCCTTAAAGTGTGGGTAGAGGAGACTTAGCTGTAGAACACCATGGTAGGGACAGAGGAAGGTCAGACAGGATCCAGACCCAGGACTTTGGGCCCTTAATGTGGACATGGACATCAAGAATTGAGCCATATGCTGTTTTAGTACAGTATTAATAATTCTGCTAAGTTTGGGTTTACTTTAATGTTCTCTAACATTACCACATTAGGCCCATATTTTGGAAGGTCATTTTCCAGACTTGGAGAGACCTAGAATTCTTCTCTTCTGACAGCAGTTACCTTTAGCATGTTTCTTTAATATTTAAATGATCTGTCATTTAGTTTGTACAGATGTTATCCTGGACGTCTAAGATTTGCAAGGAAAACAGCCAAGGTAAGTGTCCTGCTACATTTCCTAAAAGCTTCATATATAATCATCATCGCCAACTAGTTTTTAGAAAAGATAAGATACTCCAATTACACATTCACCAGAGTAGTCAGCATGACGAAGCCCTTTTGATTAACAAGTGTGGGCAAGAATGTAGAGCTGCTGAGTGTCTCATTCACTGCCAGGCTGATGTAAATGGGTATACCCATTCTGGAAAACTGTTGGCAATATCTACCTGCTAAAATTAAATGTACCTGTGACCCAGCAGTTCTACCCTCAAAGCAAGTATGTGGAAGAACCCTCATAGCAGCACTGTTTCAGGAGGTAACAACGAACCTTAAGTGAAGTGTACATCAGCAGAATAGGTGAAAGAATTATGGTGCTATAAAGTGGGAAACCACACAGCACCACAGACAGACTGACGACACCTGCACACACCAACATGGAAGAAGATTTCACAAACAGTGCAGAACAACAGCCAGGCACAAGAAAGCACACACTGAATGATTCTGTTTAGATATACTTCAAAATCAGACAAAACTCAGCTGTGTTGTTAAACATCAGGATAGCAGTTTCTTTGGTGGAGTAGGGAGTTAGGAGACTGGTAATGTGCTCAGTGTGAGTGCTTATGACCCAGTGATGGTGATTTCTAGAGTGGAGTGTTCTGGCTACACACACACACACACACACACACACGCACGCACGCACGCACGCGCGCGCGCGCCCCACACACACACATGCTTTTGCAGGACCTACTGAGTTGTAACTTACCTTCACTTTTTTTCTTTCATGCCCATAGAAGATGCCTCATTTTGTAAGAACTTGATGAGCTTGCTCTTCAGCCTGCATGCTTTGGTTAAGAGTCCTGTCACCCTGCTGCGTGATGTGTCCCAGGATATCCATGGGCAGCTGGGAGACATAGACCAGGTACTGCAGCCCACGTAGTCACTCTGTGGCGGTTGAGGGGCCAGCCTTCCTAGCTTTGGGTCTTATCTCTCTTTCTCTCCCCAGGATATAGAGGTAGAAAAAACAAACCACTTTGCAATGGTGACTTTGAAAACAGCTGCCCCCACTGTCTGTGTAAGTGCTGATCCCCATCCATGGGAAATACCTTGTCATTCTGTTCTGCTTTGAGCTGCAAAGACTCAGTTGCAGTAGCTTCCATCCTGAGGCCTGAACCCCACCTGCAGAAGCCATGGTTTATAATATTACCACAACTGTTGCGTGTAGTGACTCATGCCAGGTATTGTTTGCTCTCACAGTTACTTGTTCTGAGCCAGGCTGAGAAGGCCCTGGAAGAAGTGGACTGGCTCATCACCAAGCTCAAGGGACAAGTGAGCCAGGAAACCCTGTCAGGTAAAAAGTCTTCAGGTGGTGCTCCAGGAATTGTGATGAGGGCGGAATCTAAATTTGACTGCATAAAGTTAGAGCCCTTGAGCTAAATTCATTATTGTTTCTGAGCTAGATTCTGATGTGATGAAAGTAGAAGAGGTAGTATGGCTGTGACAGCATGATTACTGATTCAGTCTGCATAATGCTCTTTTCTGTATCAGATTTCTAGTTAATAGGATTTAGTTGATGTCTAATTTTCTTTACTATTAACTAGAAAATAAAACTGGTTGAAATAAACCAATATTTTTTCTCTTCAGAAGAGGCCTCTTCTCAAATAACCCTGCAAAACCTTCCCACTGAGAAAGCCATCATCATGCAACTGGGAACGCTCCTGACATTTTTCCATGAGCTGGTGCAGACAGCCCTGCCTTCGGGCAGTTGTGTGGACACCTTATTGAAGGACCTGTGCAAAATGTACACCATCCTTACAGCACTTGTCAGATATGTGAGTGTCTGAGAGACAGGGTTCCCCCACCACTACCGCCCCAACTCTACCCCAGCTAGCCTGCTGCTGAGAATGTCTGTGGACATGGCTCTTGTCCCTATCTTTGCAAGTCATGGTTTCATTTCACTTTGTTCAGTAGGGGCAGTTATCTGCATGGGCCAGGAGAAAATAGTTGACAGGATTACTCTAAATCTGCTTTCAGAGCCTTGTATTTCCTCATCATGTAAGTAGTACCAGATTGAGAGAGAACCCTTTTCATTTATTAATTTTTGGTCTTTTTGAGTCAGGGTCTCGTTACTCAGTTCAGGCTATATAGCCCAGGCAGGCCGCAAACTCGCAACGATCCTCCTGCCTTAGCCTCCCGAGTGCTGGGATTTCAGGCATGTGCCACCATGCCTGGCTTGAGAGAACCCTTTTGCAAAGAACTCTTTCCTTGAGAATCTTGGCCACGTCTGACACTTAGTCGACCCATTCTCAGTGATTCTTTAAAGATCAAAACGGCCTTGCAGTACATTCATTGCAGCGACTAAGTAAGAAAGGCATAGACCAGCAGTGTACCAGACAGCACTGTGGCCATCTCCAGAATGTGCAGTTCTACCTGCATGTGTGGCAGTGGCTACTAAGGTGCTGTAATATTAGCACTAAGAGCCTCTTCCCTTTATTTGCATTCTTAGCGAACAGCCAAATTGTTGGTTTGCTAAGATGTAGATTCTCAACCTGAAGGATTTTAAAGCGATGAGCTGAGCAGATCAGAAACAAACCCTTCATTTCCTGCTGTCTGGGAAGCTTAGGAGCTTTGGAGGAAGGGAAAAGGAAGCCTGTTCTTGGCTTCTGTATGGATTTTTCTTTCCCTCTCCAGTCAGTGATGAGTCACATTCCATAGCTTCCCTACAGAGTCACCTGTGCTTCATAGGATGCTCTGCTAAATCGGGTATCTTTTTGTTATTAGTATCTCCAGGTGTGCCGGAGCTCAGGAGGAATTCCAAAAAATATGGAAAAGCTGGTAAGTTGAGAATGGCTTTCCTAAGAAAGGGAGAGCCTTTTATTGCTGCAGTTACATTGATTTCCTCCTCTGCTGCAGGTGAAGCTGTCTGGTTCTCATCTGACCCCTCTGTGTTATTCCTACATTTCTTATGTACAGGTAAGTGGTTCAGGGGCAGTACCAAAGCCTGTCTTCAGGAAAGGGCCTGTGTTGCCAAGGGGCTGCTTGGTCACCTGACTTGAGTTTATGTGATGTTTCTTCTCTACTTACCATAAGCCAGAAGTGCCCATCTGAGACGAAGTCAAGACTTAAAGACTTTTTTATTCATACCAAGGAAATCATTTTGACTTAGAGAAAGAAGGCATTTGATATGTTTGCATTTGGAGCAGGGAAAGAATAAGCTTGCTTTGCATCTGTGACTTGGTTCATTTCTAGGTGAAAGTCCCTGCCATCAGGCACCCTTTCAGAGTGAGTCCTTGTGACAGCAGCCACCTGAACAGTGCTGAGGTCAGATGGCAAAGAGAGCAGCAGCTGCCTCTGGGGATGCAGCGGGTCGTGGGCTTCTCCTATCATTTGCCTTGACCCCCTCTAAATTAACAAATGTTTTTCAGAATTTGGAGAAATTTTAAGTGTCATATGGTCATAAATACTATCAGGTTTTTACAGTATTTTAACCTCCTGTACTGTTTGCTTAAACCAGAGTTTTAACCTTACCACTGTTGACATGTTAGGCCAGATAATTTTTTTGCCATGGGGCCTCTTATGTGTGTTTTAGGAGGTTTCAGCATCCTGGACCTTTCTACTTACCAGACTGTAGTAGGAGACCCCTCCCCGCAGTTGTGAACGACCAAAATTGGCCTATTTGAGAACTCTGTGTTTCAGTTTTTCTCATGCATTGACTCATTTGTCCTTCTGTGCTTTGTGATCAGGACTTAGCCTGTATTAGAGCAGTTAACTGAAACATCCAAGAACAGACAGCTAATAAGGCCCAGCTGAGACTTGACCCCAGCTAGTTTGGCTGTACACCTGGGGTCAGAAGCCTTTCTGTAAAGGGCCAGATAGTAAATATTTTAGGCTTTGTGGGTCATAGACTGTCATACCCATTCAGCTCTGCTATTAAAATGTAAAAACAGCCACAGAGAAATATAAAAGTAGTGAACATGGCTGTGTTGCAGTGAAAATTTATTCTCAGAAACAGATAATAAGGGCTGGGGTGTACCTCAGTGGTATAGCACTTCCCTAGCATGCCTGAGGCCCTGGGTTCACTCCTCAGTACCACCACTACCAAAAAAAAAAAAAAAAAAAAGGTAATGGATTGGATTTGACCTGTGGGCTTAGTTTGCCAACACCCATGCCACTGTAGAATCTTTTGCTGTTTGTAGACATGTGAGATGTTTGTGTTTCTGACCGCATTATCAAGCATTTTCTTCTGTGAAGCACAAGATACCTTGGAGGTTCTGTTCTTTTCCCGAGATTACACAAAAGTCAGCTTCCTGTATCCCCTGGGCATCTTCTCTCTTCCCTATCTATATTTGCCTTGATGCCCACTGACAATGCAGGCAAACATTTTCCCCTTTGTGTGATCTAGTGAGTGAGTGACCCTGGGCAAAAGCCTGTGGTTCCATTAACTCAAGCTCTTAGGTACAAATGGGGATTACATTTGCCACATCTTCCAGAGCCCCCACATCCCCCACCCACCCCCACACACACTGCCTTAGCTTTTGCTGGGAAAATAAATAAAACACTGAAAACCATCGCACCGAAGCCTGTAGCACCCTGCCAAAGCTGCAGCTCTTCAGTGATGTCCTCTTCTGGCTCTGATACCCTTTTCTGGGCTTTGTTTCCCTATTTTTTTCCATGGCTCTAATTTTTAGTACTTACTGTGTCTGCAGGGATGAGCAGTAGACAGGGTTATGTTCAGCAAGTCTCAGCAGGGCCCCATCCTGGATGACAGCTCTGGAAAGATGGCTCACTTCACTACAGCCACGTGAAGTCTGTCTGTGGCTGGTCTTCTTCCCCTCCCCGCCCTCTGTAACCTGCCTTCCATGGCCAAAAGTAGCCTTGTTCCTGCCAGCCCCTCGAGTCTCTGCTGTCCCTTACTTTCCAGAACAGAGCATGTGGCTGCCTCTCCAGCTTCCAGTGGTATAGCTTCTCTGCATTTTCAGGTCGTTCCTTGTTTTGGTACTGGGAATCAAACAGGACCTTACACTTGCCAGGCAGGCACCTGTGCCGCTGAGCTATACCCCAGCCCTCATTCATCGTTTTGGGTGGTCTTTTTGGTCTTTACTTTTGGCATTGCTAGGGACGACTTCTTGCCTACTGGACAAGTGCTCTACCACTGAGCTGCATCCCCAACCCAACGTCTTTTTTTTTTTCCCTTATTGCTGAGGATGTGGCATGTTCCTTTTCTAGAAGGTAGAGAAACCTCTTTGAGGTAAAAGCTCCGTGTTTCCATATGCCTTAAACTTGGGTGTTTTCCCCTCAAGGCTCTCCTCCTTCAGGTGGCAGTTCTGCTACCTTGTCAGTACCCTGTCCTTGGCTGCTGTATCAGGTTTTCTTCCTTTTTAGGAGCTCTTTATTCCCCAGTAATCTCCAGTGTGGAAGTGTTTCTGTGGCCCTTTCTACCCTTCTTATGCATGATAACCACACTGTACCTACAGCACATCTGTCTGTGATGGCCTCTAATTGGAAAGTCTGTGGTCTCTGAAACAGCTTCTTTTGTTTATGGAGACTTTTGGCTGAGGGCCCAGCAGGAGGATGCCTGCCCCTGCTACCACCTTGACAGCCCCCATTTTAACTGTGCCTTGGCCGGCCCAAGACAGTAGTGGCTGTCCTGCCCTCTATTTCTGTGTGTTACCTCCAACAGCAACAGATCATCTACCATTAACTGTGAAAGACGGTGAAACATCTGACGATTACAAAGCATCACAGCATTTTTCTCATCTTCCAAGCATCTGCTGCACAGAAAATCCTGCTCACCCAGATGTGGTCCCCATTGTGTTGTAATTACCACCAGCCTGCTAACTATAGAAAAACCTTCAGGAATAAGACCTGAATGTGTTTCTTTTTCTTTAGAACAAGAAATCCACAGGAGAGAAGAAAAAGGAGAAAACTGCTGTTGCCACAGCCATGGTAAGTTACTGACACTGTTATTAAAACACAGTTGCTGGTCATTAGTTCATTAAAACTGTTTTTAGGAACAGCTGGTAAGTCCAAAAGACACTCCCTAGAGGACAGGATCTGTAAGAATTGGTGAGGGTGCAGGAAAGTGGGTACTGTGCTGGCAAAGGGAAAAATTAGTGCAGCCTCTGAAGGGGAAATGTGGCAGTAACTACTAGCAGTAACTGCCTGGCTGTTTTCCTCATTTATGGGCTTAGCAAAATATATATATCTGCCATTCAAATGGAGGGCAAAGACATGTAATCCCAGCAGTAAAAGTGGGATTGTTACAATCCCACTTTTAGGACCTAGAAACTATAAAGGCCAGTGGTTAGGAGATTGTCATCCAAAATGGCACCTGTTGAAACTCCCAGAACATTAACATATCCACATTTGGCTATAGAGTTATCTCCAAGATAATTTTGAAAAAGAATTTTTTTTTGGAGCTAGGGTCTCACTATATAGCACAGGTTGGCCTTGAACTCATGATGGTCCTCCTGGCACAGCCTCCTGAGTGCTGGAATTGTAGGTGTGCACTATCATACCTGGCTGTTTTACTCATTTATATCTACCATTCAAATGGAGGGCAAAGACGTGTAATCCCAGCAGTAAAAATTCACATGCAGACTACAAAAAGGAAAGAGGAAGTGCCAGACTGGACTTAGTGTTTTCAAAAACAGGAAGTCAGAGGCAGCTAAATTTCTGCAAATGACCCTGCCCACAGTCCACCTTAGACAACAACAAGCACTTAGGAATTAGAAAGGGGATAAGTCAGTGCAACTTCGATTGGCGATTGGTGTTTAGGTTGCGATGAAGCTGCTAAGACCCTATTGGTATATAAGGAAGGTTACATTTAGTTGTGAAATACTCCAGTTTTCCCCCAAGGCCATGTGCAGCTCTGCTCATCAGGAAAATTTCCAAAACCATGAAACCAGAAATGTAAATCTTAATGTTCTTTCCCTCAGGCCAGAGTTCTTCGGGAAACCAAGCCAATCCCTAACCTCATCTTTGCCATAGAACAGTATGAAAAATTTCTCATCAGCCTTTCTAAAAAGTCCAAGGTAAATGCATTCTCTTACTTGTTCCCATTTCCCTTACTCAATGTCGAGGGGATCTGGCAAACCAAACCAGTACGGTTGCAGTGGGAGAAAAATCAGACTACTATCCATTCCTGTTTCTTTGCTACTTCTGACCAGATGGCCTGAACCCAGTGTCATGTTGGGAAGCTGATGGGGAAGGCAAGCAGTCCAAGGGGTGGGAACAGAAGGGCTCGGGAGGGCTACACCAGAGAGGGTGTCCACTGTCCCAGCAGACCTGTGAGGTACGAGATGTTCCTGTGCTTGCCATCTGTCAGGTGAACCTGATGCAGCACATGAAGCTTAGCACCTCCCGAGACTTCAAGATCAAAGGAAACATCCTGGACGTGGTTCTCCAAGAGACGGAGGAGGAGGGAAGCGAAGAGGTCAGCGGTGCTCCTGCCTGAACATAGCAAGCCCCACTTACACCCCTGCAGCTGCTTGGAAGCAGCCAGACTACAGGGAGGGCAGAACAGTGGTCAGTAAGGAAGGCAAAGGATGTTCAAGGAAAGATTAAACTTCAAACAAATTCTGTGACACTTGACTAGTCGTTTCTAGGAAGAGAGCAGTAACCAGTGTCTTGTCCTGGCCTCTCTTTGTTTGTGTCCTCCACCCCTCTGGCTCAGGAAACCAGTTTACATCCTTCCCCCCCTCTCGGAGTGAGCCCCTCCGAATGGTGCAGATGAGGGTGAGGCTTCCACAGCTTCATCCTTGCACCGGTTTCTCTTTCAGCCCGACCAGCCCCACACCCTCATCACTGCAGCAGAGCCGTGTCTCCTCACCGCCTTTTTTATCTCCAGTCTAGGTAGAAGTAACAAATCAGTGGCCTGCTCCCGTTTCAGAATTAGAAGTTCACATAAAACACCATGGATTTTTCAAAAGTGAAACTACACCTAGGCCATTTACCTCCTTGGCATTTGAGCTCAGCAGGGTCCTCTCCTCAGGGAAGGAGTTGGCACTCACTACTCTACTTTAGAACTCCCCCATCCCTCCAACAAAGTTAGCACCCATCAGTGGAAAGGGGGACGGATGAAACGGTAAAGGAGTTTGTTGTTTTGTTTTATTTCCACTGTCCTAGAGCAGCTTTTGTCACTCTCCCCTTCTAGAGCACTGCATTGGAGCACAGAGAACAGAACAAAGAACCAGCCAGGAAGAAAAGAAAACAATGAAATGCCTGAGTTAATGTGAACTTCGGGGCTCCTGCTTCCTTTGTGCCACTGAGCAGCAGTGCCCCTTGTCCTGTGGCCCTCACCGACGTTGGCACCTTGGTTCTGAACCCACTTCACGCAACTGCACCTTCGGTCAGGAGTCGCAGCAGGTCCTCTGCTGAACTGTGGCCATTCAGCAAGCCTTTCTCAAAGCACAGCAGAGCCTGAATTCGGGAGCCTGAGCCACCCGGGTGAAGCTCCACGGAAGCAAATACAGGGCTGGAGGCGGAGCTATGGGCCAGGCTGGCTTCGCTTTTCTAAGGAGCCTTTGGTGAGTTTGATTATCTGGTAGATATCCAGCGCTTCTCCTGAAAGACAGTGCACACTGGTCAGGCAGCTTCCTGGAGAGCTGTATTTGAGAGCTCAGAGGTTGGAGAACCATAAACTAAAATTTAAGAAAAAGGAGTGTGTGGAAGGGTTAAGAACCAACATTTGTAGGAACAGTCATGTTACATGGGTCTGTTTTGTACAAACTAAGTTCATCTTATTTCCCTCTAAAATCAAATCTCATTCTGGTTTGACTTGTTTGGCATTTGCAATACTAACAATGCACTTTGACTTGCACAATAAATCCTCTTCAAACATTTCTGGTGTGGCTGTAGAGGGCACAGGTGCAGAGGAAACATTTGAAGCTCTGGAACTCCCTGCACTTACTTGAACTGCTTTCTGGAAACAGACCTCCCTTTGTGATTCAAACATCACATTTACTGGGGCCCAGTGGTACCTTATAAACTGGAACAGCCTAGATACAGCATGAGGTGAAATTTCTTCTCTGGAGCCCAGCCCCAGGCTTCCTGCTGCCTAAAACCACTTTCTAATCTCCCACCTCCCCCTCGGCGAGTGCGAGAACAAAGGTGGTGTGCTTACCCTGTGGAATCCCGTATCTCCTCTCCATCCCTGTTGGGTTGGAGGGGGTTTTACAATCCATGGTCACTTCTTTCCTGAGGCACTGGTCGATGTCGACTGCACTGAAAAAGGCGACTGACTGGGGCAAATCGTTCAGACCCAGCTTGTGGGCAAACATGCACCTGAAAGAGACCAGTCTCCTGTCACATCTGTGCCCTGCTGTGAACACAGGCCCTCCTTGAAGAGTGAGCAGCGCACCTAGAGCAGGGCCAGGAAAGCTACAGGGCCAGTGCTGCCTCCCCACAGCCCAGCACTCCTGCCGATGCCGAGGTGCGCGCAGGGACCCAACACACCTCCAGTGTGCACACTTCCCTGGTACAAAAGGCTACTTTCAATGACTGTATTGGGCCAGCATTTGAGAAATGACTTTGGTAAGTGTAACCCAAAGGACGACTAAGAGGGCAATTTGGAAAGATACTGGCTATTTACCCATAGTTCCCAATCTGGTTCTGAGTGGCAGATCAACATGGGATGGTAATACGCATTTCATCCACTGAACTAGGAATTTTACTAAAGAAAACACAACTCAATATAAAACATGTCTTCTAAGTCACACTTATGTTTTCCCATTAACAGTGTTTTCTGTTAGCACAGTAATAGACTGTTCACACTTAAAACATGTATGGGTAAAAGAAAAACACTTTTCTATGAATTGAGAAAAGCCTTCAGTCATTTGATTTTTGTAACAGAAAGGTGAATTCCTGGGAGCGCGATCTGAGACCTACTCACTGGAACAACCACCCTAACCTTGGCCCACGTCAGTCACCTCGTACAACCCTTTTAAACCCAACAAATCTTAAAGTTTATGCCAGTTTTTTTTAGGACTTCGTGAACTTTAAAATTAGAAAACAGACCCATTTCTGGGTTGATGGAAACTCAGGACTGCGTGGCTAGTCTGCAGGAGCCCCACACAGCACTGTGGCCCCGAGTACCTGGTCAAGAGGTTGGTGATCTGCAGGGCCAGGGCAGCGCGGTAGCGGTCTTCCTCCCGCACCAGGTAGCGAACCTCGTCGTGGATGCTGATACAGAAGCGGCCATCAATGGCGAACTCCTCAAACAGCCACTTCATAGCAACCAGCATGAGGTGCAAGTAGTCCACAGCAGAGCTCTGCACCACCCAGTTCACTCGGCTTGTCATAAACTGGGGAGGCCAGGTAGGTAGGTGAGACAGGTACTCCCAAATGGCAGTCAGTGCTGGGGCTGGGCGAGGCCCACCTCCGCCTGCCCCCAGGGTAGTGAGATACCTGCTCCCGGACAGCTGAGGGCTCCAGGGCACGACTGATGCGGCAGCCAAGCACCGGGGTCTGGGGTGTGTCCGACATGGCAATGCTCTCCAGCTTATTGAACATTTCTGACTCTGTGCCCCCCTTCCACGCTCGCTCAGCAGCCACCTCCCACTTCTTCCTGTGTGACCTGGGGGACCATGAGCCAGGCAGGCTTTGTCTTCAGCATCTTGGAGCCAAAGCCCAAAGCATCCCAGTTCTTGGGGGACTGCTCACACCCGCCAAACACAGAAGGTTCTCACTTCTTTGCGGCCTCTCTCTGGATCTTGCGCAGATCCTGCGGAGAAACCCAGCCGTCCTCGGTCCTGTCCACAGGGAGGGCCAACTGCTGCACCAGCCACTCACCCTCATGTGTCAGCCGATACCTGGAGGCAGAGTCCACTCGATCATTCCATGGCAGTGCACCCTGGGGGTCGGGCTGCTTCCCCACAGGCCGGACTTCAGGGGAGGAAACTGGCTCAGAGGCCAAGTGATGTGCTGGGGTCATAAGCTAGGAAGAGGTACAGTAGAGACAGGAACCGGACTTGGTGGCCCTAAGCCTGCGCTAGCCATGGGAGCCCAAGGGACAGGTTCCAACACGAGAGCCATCACTGTTCTTACTGTCCTTGGGCTGGAGACACAGAGGTATCCAGGGGACACGGCCAGCGCGGCAGACAGTAGGTACTCCTGGGCGGAAGGAGGTGTCTGGAGAGCCAGACCTGGCTCACCCTTCTTCACCTCCCTGTCTCGGACTCCTGTTTCCCTCCAGCCTGCAGACCCCTAAGGCTCAAGAGCCACATGTCACCTGCTTAAGGAGTACCAGGGCTTGCCCACCATGTGGCAGTGATCTGCGACTCTGATGCCTTCCAAGGCCTCCACAACTAAGGGCCAGCCTCCCTTTTCTTCACCGCCCTTGCCTCCACGGCCACAGCCCACCAGGGCTGCCTCAGCCAGCAGCCCCTCCGCCCACTAGCAGCGTCCACGTGCTCTGCACCAAGTTTGCTCCCCTGCCTGTGCCGACAGTCACTACCCCACTCTTGGCTTCCTTCTCCTTCAGTCTTTCATTAGCAGGGTTTCCACAGCCAGCTAACCAAAGGTGAGCACATACACTGCCCCTTGAAGAGGCTGGATGAACCTCTGCCTCTCTTCCCCACCTTGTAGGCCCTAGGGTACAATATGAAGTGCTATCTGAGCAAATGAATCTGAGGCCCGGTCAGTGAACCAGAATCCACCTTGGGCATCCTCCGTCCACCACTCAGTCCCCTCCCCAGTCTCCCCTGCTGCTCTCTTGCCAACCATCTCAGACCTGCTTGTTCTTACTCCCACGGACACCTGAGTAAGGAGCCCATGTGACCGGCCGGGTATGCTGCATAACCAAAGCTATGGATGTGCTACCTGAAGTAGCTTTACGCCGTCATGCTCCACAGACAAGCCACCCACAGCCAGGTCACAGAGGCCTGGTGAGCACGCTCAGGTGGCGGGCAAGAGAGGAGAGGAGCAGAGGCCTGAGGTCCAGGGGGGCCACAGCCAGGGAAGGCCCTCACCAGCGCAGGCCCTTGGTGACGGCGTACATCTGCTGGGCCTTCTCAGCTGCCTCCTGCCTTGTGAGCCGGTGGTTGAACTGCATTAGCAGGCGCTCAGCAAAGGGCTGCCCGGCCCCATAGATGCGGCCGTAGTTGAAGACCTTGGCATGCTCGCGGCTTATGCCCACGGTGGAGGCTGTCTTACTGTGCAGATCAGTGCCACTGCTCTTCTTGCCCTGTAGGGTCATCCACCCAAAGGCCGTGCAGCCTGGAGGACAAAGCAGGCACGAGCAGGCAGCTAAGATGATCTGCCCAGCCCTAGGCCTGCGGGGCTGGGTGCCTCTATCAACCTGCCTGGCTTTGCTCACCGTGCATGCCAGCAAAGTGGGCATCTCCAAGCACTGCTGCGATCCACAGCTCCTGGGAGTCCACATCAGCACCCACGAGGACATAGCCAGGCGGGGCCTGCACCATGGCTTTCAACTCACTGCCTACACGGTCAAGCTGCGGGAAGAGAGAGGTCAGGCCCACATACCCACACTACCTCCCCTGGTTCCTGGGACCAGGCCCAACTGAGTACCAGGGCCTCGAGGGAAGGAGTGCCTGTTTTAGAGACAGCCCGACAGCACCACCCCACGCTCCAGTTCCAGGTCCGGTGTCCTAAGCAATAGACTGGTAGGTGAAGGGCCCCCACTGTGCCTGGCCACCTCGCCTGCACGGCCTCATCTGAACCCACAACAGACAGCTATGGCTGTTACACCTGCACTACCAGCCAGGAGGAGGACCAGACACATCTGCTAAGGGAATGCACAGGGTCCTGCCTGAGCCAGCCCTCAGGATCCTTCATATCCTCCTTGCTAAATCCCCAGAGACCCTCTGAGATCCATTTCCAGACCTAGGAGAGAAAGAACAGGGGCCAGTGTACAGGACTCGTACCCGGGCATTGCTGGCCGTGAGCCACGTGGGCTCCACAGCCCGGCGGGTGATGGTGCCGGCAGTCACCACCTGGGGCAGGATGGCCCCATAGCGGCCTTCCTCATCATAGTTGGGGTGCCTGGAATGGGGCAAGAGGAGCAGAGACATCAGCAGATTGCACTGGCCCTAGGGTCCTCTCCACTCAGCTCTGTCCCAACAACCACCCAGAGGCCCATACCTGGTCACAGCACGGGGCAGAGCTGACCTGGGCAGCCACACCACCATCTGGGAGCTGTAGGGACAGACAGGCTGCAGCTCAGGCACAGCTATAGGGAGCAGAACACACCCATGCTCCACAACAGCCCGCACCCGCTCAGCTTTAGGGAGGCCTTCACTGCCTGGTGCAGCCAAAGCAAGGGACGCTAGAAGACACTGACCAGACACGCGGGCCATGTAGGGACGGGC